TTTGAAAAGAGGCAACGGGAATGTGGAAGCGTGAGTAGAGCCACATGCCACCGAACAATGAGCTTTTTCACTTTGTAATTCAAAGCATGCAGAGCACGCAGGGCCACAAATTGAGAATTTGCAGTTTAGCAGGTGGCCTTCATGGCCAAGCGAGGCTGGAATTCTCAGAGTCGGCTTTCAGAAAAAAGTTCCCATCGTCAAGGGGTTAAAAAAGGAAGGTCACCAAACACTCTAGAGTAAGTTATTCTATTCCTGAAGTACAGGTACATGACCAAATGACCTCCATTGGTTACAGGCACACACATACCAGCAGCATTATTCATCAAACACCCAGCAGCAGGTACTGGGCATTACCAACCATCCCCACTCAGTCCAAACCCAACACTGTCACTGCAGTACTCATCCCGTCATAACCCAACACTTTCTGTGGTATGTACACAGAACTCAACCCGTCAAATTTCAACAAACTCTGATGTTGTACATTGATGGGTTGGGAACGTTCCGGTTAAAATGTTGCCATACAGCAAAATCTCCAGTTCTTTCTTCTTCAGTACATTCTCTCTGGGAAGGAGGTAGAAGACCAGATATATAGTTTTTTAAAATGGATGGAGCACAGACAGAAGAGGTTGTACAATAATGTCACTTGCTGAACAAACCCAAACATACTCAAAGACAAGGCTGTATGCAGAAAGGCATCGCTTGACATTTTGGTCGAGTGCCCTTTTGGACCAACAAAACTACTATGCGTCAGTGCTTAGCTTGATGAAGCCGACACATGGACCAGCTTGTGCCTACAATACAACATGTGTTTCCTCCAGAATACTGCCATCCTTCACACAAATGCAAGCCTTGGTTGTCAAACTAGGCATCTTCAGTCCAGCAACAGCTGAAAGTTTGTTTCACGTGGACAAAAAACTGCACATCGGAACTCCTCAAGGACACAGTCGTGGCCATTAGGTCGCAATAACCTCTTTTTCTAGACCATTAGCTGTACTGCACAATTAATACTTGATTGCGTGATGTTTCTGTCTGTCCAAACAGTAGTGCCACAGACTTCCTGGCTCTCTTCGACTGTAGCCACCAACCTGTCATCAAGAACCGATCCAGCAAGCCCAAGAAGGCATCAACGCGCAACCACTGGAACGAGCCGGTAAGTCAGGGTTTCTTCAAGTTACCCTGTCTTCGTCAAGTACGCCAGCAGTGTGCCATCCGAGAGTAGAGCTATGGTGTCAGAGGCACCAAACTTGTCTTTGCCAGGTTTATGTCCTTTCAGAGCAACAGCTTTGGCCATGCTTGTCTATATTTCAACCAGTGTAATAGTCAAGACCATACCAGATCACCACAAGACCAACACAAGGCCTCCTGTCTGAAATCAAGTCCCAAAAAATATTAAAAACAAAAAGCAGAAAAAGAATTCCTTTGTCACTGTTCGCCCTATGTACCAGTGACTGGTCTCTTGTCTGATCTTGTAATGGTGAGAGTGTAGGCATTTGCCACTGAGAGCATTAAGGATAAAGTTGGAATTGTTGTCCTCTTGAGGTTTCCTCAGCAGGTGTTTATTCTGTTTTGCTGTCTCGTCCCACAACAGCCATCAGGGAGGGCCTTTGCAATACCCTCCAGCGCAAGAAGTAGCAGTACTATTGACTCCTACACCCTTAACGGCGGAAGGCAGGACACATCCCGCGATACGTCCCGCCACAGCACCCCAACCCCCCTGCAACTCAACACCCACGCTGCCTTCCTCTCCAAGCAGGAGAACCAAACCTCCCCGGTCCCCGTGGATGCGATGGACCTGCTGAAGAACTCGATGAACACTAACAACACCAACCTGGACTCCACACCCCCCTCCGGAGCCGGTGACGCCCGGCTGGTCAGCAGCTCAGAGAAGAATTTCCGAGCCCCGAGCCCCCTGAAGCCGACCACCAACTCCAATAGGCTCATGGCCCAGCCATCGACGCGGGCGAGCGACGCACAGAACAGTCTACGAACTCCGAGGAGAGACCAAGTACCCCCGTCGCCCACTCATCCGATCGCCGAGACCTACATAGAGTCAGTGAACGAGGCAGCCTGTAAGATCCAGAGGTGGTACCGAAAAATCTCCAGCACCAGACGAAAGGAAGGTGAAGAGGAGATCAGGAGGATCCTGCACCAGAAGAGGCAGGAGCGGGAGGACTTGCTACGGCAACAGCAGCAGGAGATGGCTACGGAGCTGAAGAAGGAAGACCAGAGAAAGAGGTCGAGGGAAGAGAAAGCTCGGCTGGCCAGACAGGCAGCCATTGAGGTAAGAGAAAGGGGAGAGGTAGCAGCCGTTATGACTGCTGCTTCCTTACGTATCTACCTGCTACGGCAACCTCCCATCCACAGCCAGATGATTTGGACAAAGGCATTCAGGCACAACCTGAAATATTGGTTCTGCTCTAATGATACCAGATTGGAAAGAGAGCTGTTATTTTGTTTCCTATTGAGTATGAAATCTCTCATCACACAGATGAGGTCCACTGTATGTTATTGCAGCCATTTGTGTTGAAAACATTGGCGGGTGAGACCATATCAAAAGGGAAATTAACCTGTTACCAACAGTATTATTTGGCCGAAATCCTAATTTTCACAAAAGGCAAGGTAAACTGACCGCATTTCAAAATCCGGCCAAACACCACAAATGACGGACACTTGGAAGTCATTTCCACAACACTGGTACAATATTTTTCACCGCAAACTTTATGATCTGCGATATTCCGAGGCCCCACAACAGAGCCATATTTGCTACAACACAGGCCATTTACAGCAACCAAGTTTCAACACACAGTGTCAACCCCCACAGATTTTTGAGGCATTGCGCCTGGGTGCACAGCAAACGGGGGTCAGGCGCATGCATGTACACACATCCACCCTTAGAGGCTCAGGGAACGATCTGTATTGTTAACCCATCAGCCACCCCTACAGATTTCCTTTTCACATTTACACCACCTCAGCTGTGAACTGGTTAAATAAAAGGTACACTACTGAGACCACTGATCTGTATATACTGACAGGGTAGTGCATTGAGACCAAGGGCCTGAAGTCACCAGTTTTTCAAAATTAAACTCTGCCTCCAACCGATAAATTATTTATGAACTCTGGAAGGTCGCAAATGTGCAGAGTGCACCATGCTGCACCAAACTAAATATTAGCTATCTTTGGGCACCAAAAAAATCAAGGCACGGAGGCCTCATTTGTTTGTGCACACCAATGGGCCATCCAGTCAATGCATAGAGATCAGTGACTGAGACTCATAAGATGGCATCTTTATAAATTTGGGGGATGACAGGAACTCCAGAAGAAACGAGAGGTGAGAGCCCGAGACATCCGGGAGAAAGCCGAGGAGGAGCTACGCTTCTTACAGACCAGCGGTAAGGTCTCCAAGAAGCCCACCGCCAAGCCCCGGCAGCGCAGCTCCAGCAATGCCAGCAAGAAGCAGAGCGACAAGCCCCCTTCTCCTGGAGTGGGGAACACCGGCTCAACCCCCAACGAGCCGGTGGGAGCAGTGGGAGGAGCAGTTGGTCCGCGGCCGGGAACAGCAAGCAGTGTGGGTCGGAAGGTGGATGAAATATTTGATGTGAGTCGCTACGAAAGATTTCTGAGAGCAAAACTAAATTTTCAATTTCATTGTCTTTTAAGAAAACGTAGACTGTCGTCGTTTTTTTAATGTCAAATTACTGGAATCTGTAATTTGCAAAATAAGAAGTTAGAGTGTAGCTTTCAGTATCTGAATTATTAGTATTATTATGTCTTTGTTTTGTTTATGTTCTTTGATCCTTTGAAACCATTTTGCAATGTTCAGGAGTCAGAAATATTGTTAAAGTGATTTGGCCTTTTGAATATTTCTTGCATTTCAGGACTGACTGTATAAATTCATTTAAATTTGGCACTTACTGGAGTGATTTTAATATTAAAAAGAGGACAGAGGGGAAGTCGATAGGATTGTAGAAATTTGCAAATCACTTGTTTGGATTTACTTATTTGTTTTGATAGGAGCCATCGACGCACAGAACACAAGCAACAGGAGAAGAGCCGGCAGAAACACCAAGCATAGCAGGCACCAAGACGACCCTAACTGACCTCCTAGACACCCTGAAGCTGTTGGAGGAACCAGTCAGGGTGCCTAGCCCCACTGAAAATAAGAAGAAAGGACCTGCTTGGTGTAAGGAATATGTACTTGTTCTGAGGGAAGTGTCTTAATTTTCACCGTGATGAGGAGTCTTGTTCCGTATAAACTGGTTAACTTTCCCCAGTGGTACAAAAAACGTGACCAGATGCCACAAAATGAGTCTGAAATCCATATTTTTAGTACTGTTGTTTTAGTTAACAAGAAAGAGCAAATTGAGCTCTCAGTTTTGTATATCACCCATTTTGGCATCCTGGTGAAATTGGGCATTACATGGGTGAAAAACGTTCAGGGTTTCCTCTTGATTTAGACAGTGCAAGACTCTCTTGAAAGCTTTTCACGGCGACTTGTGACTCATTTTGAGAAAAGGTCTTGTAAACCCTTTGATTTTCAATCTGTCAGTGGACATCCTAGACGACAAAGAAGAAGACGAGGTTGAGGAGCTTCCCGGACTGTCAAGAGAGCAGGCATCCCAGAGGCGGGAGGTCTACCTCTCAGCGGAGAACCTCCAGCAGGTGGCCGAGAGCACCAAGCCCAAGGTCTTGGGGCCCAAGCCCTCGGAAGCAGGGCCCAAGATGGGGTCGCCCCACGCCCTGCTCACCGAGGACAAACTCAAGTGAGTGACAACCAAAGCGAGATCGGAGAGCAGAATGGGGGATTTCACAAAAATCCTAGTGATGTGCCGGAATGGCGAATCATAAGTGCCGTGGTATTGTTCTGTAATGAACACAAGCTGTTTGCCTTCATGAAATACACCTAATGACGGATCTCATGAAAGTCTAGCCAATTTAGATGGCCTTAGATTCTGTCAAGACGGAAACATCAGGGCCTCAGAGTTTTAGATTCGTATATTTCACATCACTGTAGTCAGCAAGTAGTTTACATAAGTTTTGTTTTCTCTTACTTCTGCAGCATTGAAAGATGTCGGCGAAGACTTAACTTCACAATACTTTTTGGTTTCAGGAGTATCATGTCTTTCCTGGACGAGGTCGACCAAGCAGACAGAGAGGAAGTAGTCAGTCAAGTCATCCTGGTGAGTAAATTTCAACAACAGTGTTTCCCTGGGAAGGTCAAGGAACAGAATTCTGCAGACAGGATCAATCAATTGTTGAAATGGACACTACTCTTATATCTTAGTTTTGAAAAATTCTGTGACAGAAAAAATGTTGAGGTCACAAGTTCCTGTGGGTTTTCATTTGCTTTTCCGTTTCTTTTCAATTTCTTATACAATACCGTGATTTGGCCAATTCCGGCAGCCTCGCTATGTCAAGACTCAGTGGCACATCATCCCAAGCACACAATCCCTCAACCATCCCCATTCTTCAAAGCTCACTTACCCAACGCCTTTTTTGTTATGAAATCTGACAGCATTGCCTCAATTACTGTCCCAGATCCTTCAAAATCCATCAGGAGGACTTTGGAGGATTTGTGAGGAAGGCACAGCTCCACCTTTGTAGCTTTCCATGGGGCTTAATGCTTTTTGGAGATTCATGCACAAGGAATGTGCCTTTTATTTCCCACACAGTAGAAGATTTGGGAGGATTCGGGAAGGTTCTTTATCAAAAATTCCACAGGACTAAAAATTAGCCCTAACTAATGAACGTTGAGGTTGAGTCTTTCAAAAGTCCTTTCTTGAGTGTAGTCAAATGTCCTCTTAGGAGTCAAGACCCAGATAAACAGAGATAAACAACGACAAAGAAGCGCTTTGTCACAGTTCATCGTGGACCTCTCACGGCTTGGCTTGAGACTTGACTTGTAACGGACTTGAAGGAAATTCTTGTGTGGGACTTTTAATGGAGTTGAGTGCCACACTGTTGTAATTGCTTTAAGGGTGTGGCTCTTGCCTCTGACCCCCTCCCCCCCATCTCAACCCTTGCAGTCTCATGACATGGCCTCAGTGGCCGGCCAGTCTGCCCTCCTGGTCCCCTCGGCAGCCGAGCTCCACAAGCTGGAGCAGGCGTCGGCGGCTGCCTCGGAGGTGACCAACACGGTCCTGTCTCAGCGGCTGCAACTGGAGGAGAAGGAGCGGTCCGTCAAGATGCTGCAGAAGGCCCTGGTGAGTTGGCGCTCAGACTTGATACTGGAGAATCCTTAGGGGTGCTAAATTTCAGAGGTTCATAGCTGTGACAGTGCAAGTACTTTAGAGTACCGAAATGAATGCCTCACACACACACAGTTGGGTGTGTAAAAGGCATTAGAACAAGAACCAGTGCAATACCAACACCATTCGTTTACACTACACTTTCTGGTCCAAAATGACGTCACACTTCTGTACTCTGAAACGTCAGCGTCTGCAACCCATCGTCACGCACCGAAAGGACCTTCCTGGCATTGAATTGTTAGGGGTTTGCGTTTGATCTTTCTTATAGAACCAGCAGCGAGAGCTGACAGTCCGCCATGCCAAGGAGCAGGAGAAGGAAATGAAGAAGAGATTGAGTGTACAAAAGGAGGAATATGAGGCCACTGTCAAGAGACACCTGTCATTCATCGATCAGGTGAGATGATCAGTCCCACCCTAGCAGTTACCCTTCTCATTGGATCTAGTACACATGCCTCACTGTCGAGTGTCTAGGGACCTTGGGATTCACTGATGCCTTGATGGTCAAAATACAAGAATGCTGTGGTGTGGTATCTCTACACAGATCATGTTATCTGGTTGTAAATGCAACAAAGTGAAAGTAGAACCATGTCAGGCATCTGATATAAGTTGTTTTCTGTGTATCAATGGACCATTATTAAGGAAATGGGCGTGCATGATTTAAATTAAAGAATTCAACAGCTTTTTCAGACATGAGTTCTCTTTTGATCATTTTCAAAGATCCTTTTTTTTTATTTTGTTGTTAATTTTTTTTAAAATCCTTTGCCTGTCAGTTGATTGATGACAAGAAAACTCTCAGCGAGAAGTACGACACAGTGGTCAAAGACTTGAAGGCGGTGGATAAGAAATATCAGACTAAGATGAAAGCCATGGAGGACACGTAAGTGTTGTTCTTTGAGTCAGCAAAAATCCGACCCCTCACTTTCATCTAATGAATGAAAGACACAACGTTTTGATCACTCTGTGGAAAAAAAAACTGCTTTCCAACCACTGGAAATGGGGGCGGTTGTTTTGCTAATTATGCCACACTGAGCGAGTTGAAGTTGTGAATTATTGCTGTGTGCTGGCCATTTTAAGTGTGATGAAGGCAGTACCAGAATGTAAGTTGGCTGTTTTGGGGTTTAATCCCAAAGGCACAATGCTGAGCTGCAAAAAGTGAAGGACGTCCAGGCAGCGGCTGAGAAGATCCGACGTGAGAAGTGGATCGACGAGAAAACCAAGAAGATCAAGGTAAGGGGACAGTCCGCATGGACTGTGGTCTGGGAAACAGTACTTGGCTTGAGCAGTCTACTCAGTAGGATCAACACTGTTGGCCAAGGTGGTTTTGTGAGTGGGTTCATGCACCTGTGGAAAAGACTACACTCTGCCAGTTTTCATCAGAATGTGCACAAAACATCATCGCCTTTGCATGGGCATCTTGTGCACATCAGAAATGGCTTCCAGGATATCTCTCCCTTTTTTTACTCTTAAGAAGGTGGCTACACATGTAGTCAGTAACATTTGGAACTTGGAAGATATGTGTAATCATTAAAGAATATCAATCAATCAGATGGATATGCCAGTGATGAAATAATACATGTAGTAAACAAATAATGAAAAAAGCAAGATTTACAAAAGGTTAAGTTTGAATGGAAACCAGAGATAAACACCGGCCTGATGAGCCAAATTGGCTCGGACCAGACTTGCTTAAGTGAATCGAAGAGTTGCCTCTTTCAATACAAAGCTTGTGCTATTATTTCCTCTTGTTTAGGAAATCACAGTTAAAGGCTTGGAGCCTGAGATCCAGCGGCTCATAGCCAGCCACAAGGCTGAGATCAAGAAGCTGAAAGCCATTCATGAGGCGGAGCTACTGCAAGCAGAGGAGAGGGCGGGAGGGAAGTACGTCCGACACACGGAGGAGCTGAGAGACCAGCTGGCCGAGGAGAAGGAGGCAGCCTGTGCGAGGGAGCGGGAACTAGCCAAAACCAGGTACAGGGAAGGCACAAGAGTTGTAACCAAATCAAATGGTAACTCAGTGGCAAGTCATCGCCCAGTCCACTGCACAACAGCCATATGCATGTCGTCATAAGTTACTACAATTGAACAGCAAGCCTGCAAGTTAGTCACAAGTAATCACAAGTCAGTGACCCCAAATCATTACAGTTCTGTCACAAAACATAGCATGCCATCACAAATCATCCCATGTCGAGTACAAGTCTTCCAATAATCCTCCAGTCGAGTGACAGGATATTAAAATGAGCCATAATAGATGCCTTACCAGACCTCCCAACCCTCCCAATTTTGGAGGAAAATTTCCGCTTTTTTACTTAGATTTCACCATTCCGATTCGCCCCTAAACTTTCTGCCAAATCGCAATTTTGACACGCTTATGTACTACCGGAAACTGACCATGTAATCTCGTGCATGTAGTGTAATACAACTTATCTGACCTACCTGAACTGTCAGTGCAGTGCACGTTGCATGAGCCACGTCTGAGGCAGCGCCCTCTTTTGACCCGTACCAGCCGCGAGATGGACGTAAAACAAGGAAGTGATACCGAAATCGTTCATGGACAAAATGCCCTCTATCGACAAGCTACATTGTAAGTAACACTGCATGCGTCGTGTGGTGCCTGGTTTTCCTTGGAACCACAGCTAAGAACATTTGAATCCAAGACTAAGCACTGCAGTGAAATCAACTATGATCATGCCAAGTGTGCAAGCACTATGCAGTGAATTTTTCACTGAATTTCGCGGCGAATCAACTCATTCAGGAGATGAAAAATTATTGCTGACCATTTCAGATGACGTAAAGTCTTGTGGAAATCAAAATTTATGGAATCGGTGAGTACGTGTCATACAAATGTACAAATTATGCAGCACTGACTGATTTTTACTTGTTCATGGTAATACGCAAAAATTCTGATTTTTCATGAAGAATTGTAAATTTGGGGGAGAAGGATTCCAAATTCTTGATAGCCAGTGTTGGGAGGTCTGCCTTACTTTGACCTTGTTCATCCCCTGTTGCTTTGGATTAGACTTGGGGTTTGTCTTTTGTTTGCATACCAACCAACACCCTACATTCTCCTGATGCATTTGATCAAAGGCAGACACAAGTAAAGCTTTGTGAAGTCAAATACATGAATCCACCATATGAGCACATTAAATCAGAATGTCGCGTTAATATTAATCAATTTATGACTGCTTAGATGTTCCATCCATAGATCGTCGTAAGTGGTAATAAGGTCATCACTTCGCCCTTGTGAGTGTTGCCCAGCTCAACATCTGTATCTATTCCATTGCCTTAGAGCTTGGGCAAAACCAACTCCAAAAGTAGGAGAGTTGTAATTGGAAAACGTTAATCACTTCATTCAGCCATTATTTCATGAACTGATATTAGCTCAGACACTTATTTAGAAACTGTCCTGGATATTTCAGAATTTTCCATTTTGATGTGTAACACATTCTTTGTAACAAGTTATTCATGGAGCATCAAGCTGCATTTCAAGTAACTGGCTGGGCTCTGCCTTCCTCAATCCTTCAAAATCCTCCCGAAACCTGGTGGTAGATTCTGAAGGATCTGGGAGGGCAGCTGAGGTTAATTTATGGACCATTTGACCTCCTCCAAGGTACGAGAAGCAGTTGGAGCAGGAGGAGGCAGCCTACCAGCAGCAACGACGACGCCTCTACGCCGACATCCAGGAGGAGAAGGAGCGGCTTGCTGAGCAGGCCAAGCGGCAGCGGCAGGAGGTGGACCGGCTGACCCTGCAGATGGAGGAGAACAGCCGGAAGGCCCTGACTGCCATGAAGGAGGAGTACGAACAGGCCAGGGACGAGCAGGAATGCAGGCATAGGGTGGGTTGATGGAGATAACAAAGGGGGGAATTCGAACCTGTGGCCTTTAGAATTCTGCACCAGTGTTCTACCAACACCAGCAAAGGGGGATTTGAACGCAGGACCTTGAGGAATGTTGCACCAGTGTTTTTACCAACACTGCCAAAGGTGGGCTTCAAACCTAGGACCTTCAGAATGCTGCACCAGTGTTCTACCAACACACTCAAAGGGGAAATGAAAAAAAAAATTGGCTATGTAGCAAGCTCGATGTAAATCTACACCAGTTTTCTATTGAGAGTGCTATACAGCTGTTCACTAAGTAGTCTTCCAACGTTTTGCAAAATATACTTGTAGAAAATCTTCAATAAATCAAGTTTGGATATCTGGCTTCACAGATGATGTATCATTTTCAAGATGTATTTTTTTTTTTTTTTTTTAGGACACTGTTAATATACGTTGGGTAAGGGCAAACCTGTTATATATAATGATGTATCATATCGAGGAATCTTTTTGTTGTATTGGTGTAGGCTGAAGTGAAGGACTTAGAGGAGAGATTGAAGATTGAAAAGGAGGCGTGGGAAGAGAACTACATGAAGAAACAGGTATGTGAGCTTCGAGGCCTTCAAAATTTGATCACAGAAGCGAGTATGACCTTTGCCTTCAGCCCTTTGATTTAGTTATGAATTGGGATGAGGTTTGCAAGCCTGGAATTGTGTTCTTGAAGCTGGAAGGGTTTTTTTCTGCCAGTAGGGGATGTGCATTAGTGGGTGTTAGGAATCGCATTTGCAAGGGTGATCTTCCACCTGCATTGGGAACATTGCAAGTATGTTCTGGAACATTCCAAGTGGCAATTTCAAGTGCAATATGGCAGTATACGCTGTGACATCACTGTGTGACTCCCAGCCTTATTTCATGCTTAATGTACCGTTGGGAACTTTCTTGTGCTCTGCGATTCTACTTGAGATGCATTTGTGTAGCGCAAACAGCAAGAGAAAACCAGGCAGGAGTACCACTTCTACCAAGGTACTTTGCCATTTCCACCACGCTTACTGAAGATGCTTCCATCTTTTGTCGGTTGCCTAGGAAACCTGGCTCCTGTCCAAGGAGCGGGAGCTGAAGGAGCACGTGCGTAAGGATCGGGACAAGGAGATTGAACTGGTCATTACTCGACTGGAGGAGGATGCGGCCACCGGCAGGGAGGAGTGCGAGAGAGCCGCCGAGAACAGGGTCAAGTGAGTCCGGCAGGATTGATGGGTCTTTGGAATATCCTGGGCCTTTACCATTCCATCCATGTGTACATGATGCCGCTGAATGTTGATAATGAATCAAGACGTTGACATCATTTCTTGTGATTCTTTAACCCTTGACCCTTCCAAATTCTTCAAAATCCATGAATATCTGATGAATTTCTGATGTCGAAGCCAGTATTAACACTGTAGATTTTCAAAAGTCAAATGCACTTAATCTCTCTTGCAGATTTTGCCATACATGGTTCATGATGTGAGACTTGTTCCACATCAGCGTGATATGTAAACTAGCCTACACCAAAGTGTTGGGCACTTACAGACATTCAGTACATTTTATATCCTCTGTTCAAGATTTTGAACATGATCAGAACCTGTAGACCCCCAGTACATGAATTTTTGAAGCATGAACAATGAACTTGCAGGAGGATACGAGACAAATATGAGGCGGAACTGAGGGAAATCGAGCTGTCGGAACGAAACACTCAAGAGAGGTATAACGAGATGAAGGCCAGGCTAGCCGACGTAGAAGGGGAGAATATCAGAATCAGTGGACTGATGAAACAAAAAGAACAAGAGGTGAAAGATATCAAAAAGGTGAGAAAGATATAGTGATAGACTGGAGGACAGAATGCAGGGGAAATAGAGAAGCAAGTGGTGACACACAAAGGATATTGATGCTATCATAAAGAGCCCCAAAATTCGTCACAATAGTTTCTTTGTCTTAACTTTCTGCTTAACTCAGTCTTGAAGTTCTTAGCCGCTAATTTCCAGCTCAACAGGATTTTTTTCTGTAATTTATAGTAATGTTGTGATTTTTGCAGTATTTATATATAATTGGGTCGTTTTCACGTAACTGTACAGAAGTCGCTTCTAGAAGTAGTAGCATTTCAATATTTTTTGTAAAACATGTCATTTTTGCCAGTCACTCCAGTTTCAAACCCACTGTGTGGTTAAATTGGACAGATATGCGACAGGCTGACCACCGAGCGGAACAACGTGCAGGACGTGATCCGGCAGGAGTTTGCCGACCGCCTGGTGGCCACCGAGGAGGAGAACAAGCGGGTCAAGAACGAGATGTCGGAGATGCGGGCCAGGCACAAGCTGGAGCTGAGCCGCATCCAGGAGAGCAAGGAGGAGGAGATGGAGGAAGTCCACAAGAGGTAGGTGGATCGATGGCGGCGGGGGGGGTGCGGGGCCGGGGGTAAGGGAGTGATGCCGGTGGTGCAAAATACACGAGGGCCGGGCTCCAGTTGATGTCACTGGATTTGGTTGAATGGAGATGGAGGGTATACAGGAAGTGCGTGGATGGGGGTGAGGCAGTGGTACCGGTGGATGTGAGATGGTGGTAGAATTGCTGGTAGACATTGTCACTGAATATAAAGATAAATGTATTGTGATTTTCTTTGGTTAAATATCACACTCCAAAAAATTTAATGAGGCATACGTGTATGTCAACTGAGTTCATCTGAATAATTTTCGAAGGTTTAATGTAGGCGCGGTTTTGTTTTCCTCCGCTTTCCCCTCTTCGCTTCCCCAGGGTGAAGCAGGCCATCGTCAAGAAAGAGGAGACGGTCAACCAGCTCAGGCAGCAGCACGCGGCAGCCGTCAAGCGGGCTGACCACCTGGAGTCGTTGCTGGAACAGCAGCGGAAACAGCTGCTCAAGAAGTGAATCCGTGGCAACGGCCGATCTGTCGCTGCTGCCAACCGCAGCCGGCAAAATGCCACGGTTCTGCGCGAGGGTGTAGGAAAACGGAGACTTCTCTTGTAGTGTGTGTGAACATGTTGGATGTCTTACTGTGCTGTCCCGTACTTAGTGCCTTCTTTGAATTTAGATGTGTGTTGGAAACACTGCTGAATCGAAAACAAAACCATTTGAGAATTTCTTTTGGGAGGTGTCCCAGTGAGGTCGGACCAGTTTTAGTGCCTTTTTGCCACTTCTGCAGCATGTACCAGTCATTTCACTCTTTTTTAAGACCTTGTAAGGTCAAAGGTCGTATGCGTAAACGGGTTATGAAGTGTTTCATTTTGCACTGTGTCTGTGGTTAGTTGGCAGGGGGGAGAGTGAGCAGGTGAATTTGAACGTCACTGTCAGCGTTGTTGTAGTGCCCCCTTAAAATGATCGCAAGACAACACAAGACCTCCAGTGTGAATTCTCGTCACACGCAATTCAAAAATCTCTTGTCACGGCAACGCTTGAGACCCGACTTGTGATGCGACTTACAATTGGTCAGGTAACAACTCTGGGTTGACCTGTGCTTCTCAGAATCTTCTCTTGAGCCAAAACCCCAGGCTTGTATGCCGGTCCTAAAATGTCGTATCTCGGCCAAACGGCCAGATTGCAGTCAGACAAGTTGTATCATGCAGTGCAGCGTCGCAGTCAAGTCCATCACAAGTCCACCACAAGTCATCCAGTCTTGAGGCAAGTGGCAAGCAAAAGCATTCCTCGGCCATTGTTCACCCTGTTACTCAAAGGCCAGTCCATACTTGGTGAGAGAGAAAACACAAATGCGTATTTGTGACGTCATACCAAATATTCGGGTTGCAAATTTGTAAAAAATGAGCGCAAATCAATTCAGATGAAATTTCGCTGCAAATTTTTCAGGACGTCATATTCGCTTTGCTTTCGCATTTGTGTGGAGTATGAACCAGCCTTTAGGCTGGTCTTAAAAGAACTTGTGACTGGTCTTATGCTGGACTCGACTACAATTAATATGATGTATTACCTCACAGGTACTTGGTGTCCACAATTGGTTGCTGATCAAAAAATCACCATTTCTTGATCCTCATGTACTGCCATGCTGCTCTTCCCCTTTGACACCCTCCCAGATTCTTCAAGGGAACTCTCTAGATTATGCAGTGATGGCGGCCATTCAGACTACTTGATTGAAGAATTTGTCAGTTGAAATACATGTACTTACAGTGCTGTTGAGAGCCGCGTCTGTGATATTAGTCAATTTTCTGTTGACTTGGGCATTTTGTTTATGTTTGCAAACGTGTTGGTTCACATATGTAAGTGGCCACTGCCAAAAAAGTATGGGCAATATGTAAATTGATAGTTTTCTGATACGTCCATGGAAATGAGTTATTGAGGCAGTATTATTGCATTCAAAGTGTAATATTTGAATATTATCAATCAAAAATGTTTTTGTAGTTGCAAGTCAGATTGGACGATTCTTTGTGCAGAGAGAGGGCTTTCGTGTCCTCCTCCGGAGACCATTTTCTAACTGCTTCGCAAGGATTTGAGCCAAAAATGAAATACGTCAAGATATACTTGCGCCTGGTTACAATTACAATAGAACAGCAGCACAGCATGCAGTATGTAGTGCTCTTTTCTGCCATGATGACTTTCCCCAAGTCAGATATAAGAACGATGTACACAGGTACTCAACACTGGGTTGTCACTCAAGAGTTTTCTCCAAATCATGACTGCCATTACACCTGCGTTAACAAATGTGTGTGTTGTAGCACCCCGTGTGGGGTGTTGTAACACCCCGTGTGGGGTGTTCTGATCATCTGGTCAGTGTGGGACTCTTTTACAGGGGTTCAAAATGTTGATTCCAGCTGCAAGGCTCTGTTGCGTGTTCTTAGGCAAGTCATTTGACCTTGAGTTACATGCAACTCCCTCCACCTTTAAGTGTTAAAACATTACTTGCGTTACCTAGGGAGTTACGGGTAGTGACCTCTGAACTTTGTCACCAGAGGTTTGGAGATGCAAAAAACGGGCCAAAGTTCATCAGACTCTCAATGAAAGTTGGTTTGAAAGAGCTCCAGCAATACATTGGCTCTTCCTGGAACTACCCTTAAAGTGAACTACCTCTCTCTTAGCTTGTAGTCTCAATCTTTCCAAAGGCTCAAATCCAATTTAATCGTTCTTTATTTATGCCCCAAAAAAGGAGCCATAAGTGGCCAACCTGGTGAACCCTGGCACCTCAGACTTACCTTTTCTCTCAGCAGTTGATAAGGCATCTGTTCCTGGCATAAGTGATACATTGCTTTCTCAAACTTCTAGAATTGTAAATGTTATCACATCTAAATATTTTCATGGAGTAATTGCTTTCTGAATCCTGGTGTGATTTGATTTTTTTTTAATAGACCTCTGCTGTAAATATGAAAGTTTCTCTGTTCTGTAGAAAGTGTGCTCATAAAATAAATTATATTGTAAATATTAATAGGCTTTGTGTCTTGTTCAGGAATAAAGCAACAAGGGCAATGTTACCCTTTTGATGGGAAAGTGGCTACTTTAAGTTTTTCTTTTTGAGTGTAAATTCGACTCTTGTTAATTAGAGGGCCTCAGGACTTATCTCTTGTATTACATGTATCCAGAACATTGTCTTATGCGAAACTGTCGTCCCGCTCGACGTATGCATCACCAATCACCCGTTGGCAAAGCGTATGTGCATAACTTTTTGTTGAAATACACTTACATGTACATTATACGTAGGCGAGACCACTGCAAGACAAGAAGACCAGTCACAAGTAAACAGGGTGCACAGTGACAAAGGAACGCTTTCGATACAGTTTGTTTTCATAGCTTGTGACTTGCATTTGGACTAGATGTCTTGCGTCGGTCCTGTGATGTTGGTCTCGAATAGTCATGACTACAACACTTCTGGAGTGTTTTAATCACTTTTTCAATATCAATGGGACCATTTTCAATGACAATTTTCATTTTTGCACATTTCAGTTTACGTAAGTTGCAGTTTAAGGTTTCCCAAATTAAAAAAAAAAATTTCGAAATATCCTGACAATGGGAAAAAAATTAGCTCGGAGTGTTAAAGTCTTGAACTAGATGTCTGTTTCCAATTGCTCATCGAGATCTTTTAACATCAAATGCGACAAAATGAAAAAGGAAGCGATGCATATTTTTTTTTTTTTTGTAGCTGTAACTCCCTGCTTGCATTTGGCTCACCGAAAAGGGTTGCTGCAATGAGCCAAATAACTGTTCTACAACCACAACACTGTCAAAAGAAGACTAGAAAAACAAGAATTCACGAGAATGGGAACTTGCCATCTACATCACTATTTTGTTTGTCAAGGAGTTTTTCATTTACCATGTGCCCGATTTCTCATTAACAAAAGCACGCTCGCTCTGGTTTTTATCTTGGTGGCTTTGCCACGGCAAACAACAGTATTAGTTCTACGCAGTTTATAGATCTGTGAAAATTGATCTAAAGTAGTCATAAACCTTCTAATCCTAAATGAAGATGCCAGGTTTGATAGAACATGTCACCGCCTTGAAAACAATAATTTATAAATGTGGCTGTTCTGGGATTCAGATCTGAACACGCACAGAGAAACATCACGAGTCGGCAAACACACCACTCATCTTGAGTGAAGCAGTACATGTTTACTGATGGCCAATATTATATACATATTCCGCACAGAGACAAACCCTCCATCACCATGACACAAAGAATATTAACAGCTTTGAAAAAAAAATACCTTAGTCTTAATATGATAAAAGAGAGTGACAGGATAATTAAAGCAACAGTGCCAAGTTGGTTGTGGCATTATGTACATCGTGTAGCTCCTCTACCCAAACCAGATAATAATGGTCACACAAGTTACTTTTAGGACCCTGTTTCTGTATTACACATGAATGCCTTCAACTGCCAAATCGGGTAAGAATTTCACATTTTCCAGCAAAATCACTCCTCACACCTTCATCTGTGTAAAAGTATGACTTCCCAAGCATGTGACTTTAAATTTTGGACTAATACCCGCCTTTTAAGTTAAAAAAATGAAGCAAAAGTGTACGAGTGTCCTGAAAGTAAAGACTGCCAATAGATACCTTAGTTAATCATGTTTTATACTGATAGGAAAACAGCTGAGCCTATGACTGTACAGCCCTTTCAAGTTTCCTGACATGCATGCACATAAAACCAATCGACTGCACATTCATGTACATAAAGCCAATCGACTGCATATTCAAGTACAATCACAACAGCCAGGACAATGAAAGTAAACTTCAGTAAGTCAAAAAGATAAATCCGTACCCTAGGCTTAAATAAAGCTTTCAGATTACTTGTGGCAGTTTAAAACAACTTTTCCAAAGATTTCTGATGAATTTTAATACCATTGTTCAGCCCAGACCTACTACAACACTGTAAACAGAACCTATTTAATACATGCTACATACACATTCCAAGAACTTTATAAATCCCTATTCTATACTCAATTCCCCCTTCATTAAATGTTCGTGTAAAATACCACTGTTTACTAGGAACCAAGTTATGCTTCTGCACAGCCAATCTAACTTCAAGGATATTTTCAATACTAATCTATTTTACTTCAGTCTCCTCAAAAGAACAAAAAAATAATCTTTGACATACCACAACTACAAATACATGTATAAAGCTAAAAACTGTCAATACCATTCAGAGCAGTGTCATTTTTTCAAGAGGCAAAAAAACCAGAGCTTTATCTCACAAGAGAAAATTTATGCATGTGACTGATGAGGTTGAAGTTGGTTCTCATTTTCCTGGTGAATACTACGACAGCAGGGAAAAAAATGGGGATAAGGGGAAGGGAATGAGGAAAACTCCATGGAGTACAGGAACAAGAAGAGGAAATTTCAAGGGCACAAACCAACTCCAACATTACAAGGGATGAGAAAACTCCACTGAATACAGGAAGAAATCAATTTCGGGACTATGAACCAACTTCAACATCACGTTTGAACCTCATTTTTCATTTCCAAATGTGCACTGCTTACTCGTATCACTGTTGTCGAGTTCATCATAGGCTTTTCACAAGTCTATTCTCAAGTGGCAATCACAAAGCCTTTCACAAAACAAGTCACAAGTGGCAAGGTGAACAATGATGAAGGAATGCTGTTGTCACCATTCAGCTGAATGGCTTCTGATTTGGCTTAAGACCGGATGACTTGTGATGGTCTTGTGATGGACTTGTAGGCACTTGTGATGAACAGGACTATAACATTGCTACTTACTACAAATCATAAATAGACTTTATATCAGAAAATCGTGAATTAAATGTTATTTATGGTGTCACCTAGCATCAGTCAAATTTGAATGCTTCTACTTCAAGAGGAATGTGCCACTCCAAATAAGGTTGAGTGGAGCAAAGTTCAAGCTCAGATATGTGCACTGCATTGCTGGCATTACAAAAATATTCAACTATCAATACGAACAAGAAAAAGAACGATTACAAAAATCTCCACACGGCCACTACCACAGCTTACTAAAATAGCAAACTTGGTGATTCGATACATTCCGAATTCACAGGTCATCAAATGGAAATGTGTGCTTATTACGAGGGAATAATGTAGCATAACTGATATATATTGAAGCCAGCAGTGTGCTGATTGGACAGTACGGACACAACGCTATTCAATTTGCTGTTTTGTTCCACATTGAATCCAACATAGAATTTGCAGTAAAATTGTTTAACGAACGTAGAACTTTACTTGCAACGGCTAATGACAGAAAATATGATCTGAATGGTCCCTTACATCTTCAGGTAACATCTACAAACCATGTACAGCCAGCTTTATACATACATGTACATGTACACACATCTCAACTACCATATCAAACTCTATCATCTTCGTTGACTTGCTTGATTACATAATAATGTACATGCCTGGCACAGTGACACCGAGACAAAAGGGGTTGTTCTGCAGCCAGTGGTTGCACACACACAACACACAAAGTCAACAAAAATACACCATATTGCAGGGATCAGGCAAATTCTGAAAAGCGAATGCACAGTTTGATAGTTTCTTGTATTGAAGTATGAATTTTTGATAAATTCCGATTTTCGCCTTGTGAAACCATGCCATGACATGTCAAGCCAATTCTATTGGAATGATTTGTTTTATGCTCTGCAACAAGGGAGTAAATTTTCCCCAAGAAACTGGGAAAAGTACTACAATTTGTTTCATCAGAAAAGTGTCCATTCTTGACTTCCCTATCATACACAAGGACCTTCGCCAGTGGCAAACTTGACAAATAATATTTTGGTAAAGTTTGTAAAGACAATGATTCTGCCTACAGAAAAAGTGTGTGGGATTTTTTTTCCTAAGTAGCAAAGCCACATCTAAATGGGACAATTTTGAACAAAATAAGAATCTCGGTTCTCTTTTGAACAAAGCATCAACTCTCATTTCTGAATGTGTTTCAAACAACACATACCACATTGAAATTGGCACTTACCACAAATGAGTCACTGAGCGGGATGGTCACCTTATTAAGTGTTAATGGATAGTCCAGCTGGGGATGGTGTGCTCTAGACTAGATTGGCCAATGCCTGGCCAGCTGTGTGGTTGGTCAGCTGAGCCACAGGGTGAGGTCAGCTAGCAACCAGCTACATGTAATTTGGTCAGCTTGGCTACCGCTTGAAATAACACACAACTCTATGTGGCTCTATGGGGACTGGCTACAGCCACGGGTATAGACACCTGCGTAGTGTCAAGCCACTGTCAACTAATTTGGCATATGCAGCAAGGTATGAGACGGAGAGAACCCCCCCCCCTGCTTTGTGTTGGTCATTGTCTCGCAGGAATCTGGGGAATTCCTTTTAAATATCTTGGGGGGATGTGTTAAGTAACAACAGTCTGGAATGTGTATAGGGATTGGACATGTTGGGGGGGGTACCCATCGGTCTCATTTCTTGCTGGGTATATAATTTGGACACAGGATAAGTGTTCTGTATACAATGTTAATGGCAGGGTTATGCAGGGTCATGCTTGAGACGTTTCTACATATGGGCAGTGATAAAATGTCAACATACATGTAAGTTAACCACAAACATTTAACTACAGCACAGATATTGCATTTTCTATGACTACTGAATAAAAAAAGAAATCAGGAACAAAAAATACATGTATCACATTAAAAAAATGTGGATGAAGGACAAATTTATCCATGAAGGACAAAACATTTGTGACTAGATGTTCGATTACTGGCCAAACAGCATGAATTTTTGAAATTTCATGTCCAAAAGGAAAAAAACATGTTCAAATATGAAAATCTGACGACCTCCTGTGAATTGAATGAGACATGGGAACCAGTGATTTTCTGTTTACTTCCCATCTTCTGATTGGTTGAAGTGGTTCGGGAGGGGGATTGGGAAAATATCTGCACATGCAATGTAAGCGGGGGATAGCCAACTGGGAATAAATTCCATGAAAAAGTCTGCGACTTTGAGTCATGAAATCGTGGCATGCAGGTTGGACATAAAACTGCTAGCAAAACCGCACAAATAAGCGAGAATAGTTTACTTAGCACTCCTGTTTGTACGTTTGTTTGCTTTTTCAGACGCGCTGTATCTCAAAGAGGTGGACGTCGGTGTCGTACCAGATTGGCGGATCCAAATTCCTTTGAGCGTGAGCAGCAGCGTGTGATGAGAAATAGTTGTAAGCGTTAGCAAACAGCATGGAAGTAATGTGGTAGTTAGCTTGGTTATTGACACAGACCACTCAAGCAATTGTTAAAAGCCATTACGAGTTGGCAACTTTTAAGTTGTGCACATGACCTATGCACTCCTGTGACTACGTGTCCAGTAATAGACTACCGAAGTGTGATGTCACTGTGAACCAGAACGTGCAGTGCAAACGAATGGAGTACGTGCACGTGTTGGTTCACGCGCTGGTTCTCGCACTAATGCCTTTTACGCACTAACTGTGCACGTGACGTATTCACTTCGGTACTCTACAGGGTGTTGTGGCTTCCTAGAATGCAAGGGCAACTCAAATTGGAGAATGCGTGTGATGTATGCACAAGCAATGTTCCAACTTCAGTAATGGATTCTAAAAGTGAATACCAGAGTGGTCAATGTGTCAACTTAAAAGTTCACTTTGAAAATCTGCACACATTGAAACACCTTAGTCCCCTTAAGAAGTCAGAGCAAAATCAATTTTAAAAATTAATACACTGAAATTCTGGGAAATCAGAATGACAGTTGCATATATCCTGGGACGGTATCTCATCTAATAGAATGGCTCAGTTTCTTCAACAATTCCCCAAGTCCCTACGTGGTTTTTAAACATTTACTTATTATCAAGCAAAATGCTGCAGATTTGTCACTTGATGCACCACATTTGTGCACATTTTACTCAAATCATCCCCCCTCCCCCACAACAGAGAAAGGAAATATCTCTCCAACTGTTTGCCTGACCGGCTGTGACCATCTTCTGAATTACGGCATGGCCCAGGCTATCACAGGCAGGGCGGGAACTTCGTTCTTGAAAGCAGGCAAAGCCTCATTTGCAAAGGGCGCTTGCACTTAGCAAATCAACTTGTCTGTGGGGACATTTCAATGGGCATTGAGGCAAAGACGAGCAGCATCAACGCAGCTGCCTCCGATGCCTAAGTGAAGTTCCTGCTCAGCACAGGGAATAAACACGACAGGCTGATGCCCGTTGTTGTCCTTTAATATGGCTGCTTCTCACATGGCCCTTCCAAAGGACAGGCCATGTGTTGTTATCTTCCCTACAATGAACATACTGAACGATCTTACAAACTGCCATCACCAGAGGAAAGATTCTCCTATCAAAGGGAAAATGTGGTCAGTATTTTAGTATTTGGACCGAAGATATGTACAACTGAAACTGTTATCAGTCACTTGTTAGTAGTACAAATATTAATATTAATTAAACTAAATCCAATTAATTCATATACATCATCAATATTTGATGTTCACGTCCAGATATTCTACCGTTCTCTTTGAACCAACTTATTCAAGTTTACAAGTTTTTCAATCTATGAGGAATCAAGTTCACTACCAAACTTGTAAGTGTTCAAGAAAGATAGTAGAAAATTGCACAAAAAGAAGACACTGTAGTGGTGTTTTTTACATAAAACCTCAATGCACAGACACAGTTGGAACAACTACAATTGCTCCTAACATCATACAAGGTTTGACCAATTTCAAGTAGCTTTCAACGTGACTCGGAGAACAAATTTAACAGAGGTGCTGTAAAAATGGAACATCTTTGGAGAGCCGAGTGTGTATGGCCGTGCCACAAACTGCTTGGCTGTGGCTTGGGACTACAGATAAGTTAGTGAATTCCTCAATCAACCAGAAACTTGTGGTATTTCAATCCACAGCCATGCAATTTCGGATACAGCCTACAGAACAAAAACTCTGCAGAGAACCAGCCACAAAGCACTGTACATTTCCTGGCATTTTGGGTGGTAACCAGTTTTTTTCTGAGCTGGTGAGTTTTAAAAATGAAATAGTGTTTAGCTAAGCAAGCATTTTCTGCGCTAAGCAACTTTATGCCTTTGACAGCTCCAAAAAATCAGTCCAGGCCTGGCTACAATGTCCTGGAGCCGAGGCAGGAAGTAGTACCCTGTGAATTTACAGACTAAGCAAAAATTAGCTGGGATCCTTGGGGGGCAGCCACACAGTGCTAATAAAACACACAAATTCTATAAGCACTGAAAATTTGTGCTTAGCAAAAAAGGTTACCACCCAGACTACTACCTATGCAAGATATGTTGTTTGATTGGTCATGAGCCTATTTTTTGCTTGATGCACAAATTTGCTACGTAACACATCCTGCTTAATATTTTTATAAAAATGCACACCAGTTACACATATGAGACATTATATGATGCTTTAACAGGTAACTGGTTTTCTGCAAAGCGTGTATTTGTTCTCAGCAGGTTTGTGGGCTCCGTAGCTCTGTAACTGGCCCTTACACCAAAGGGCAAAATTTGAAAGCATTGCCGAGCCCTCATAAGTTTCTTTAGAATCAGAATCTGTGCTCATTTCCCGTGAATACGAGCAAATAAGCACTAAGAATAGCACAAATCTAACTCCCCAAGTAGATTTCATGATAAATATTGTGACCGCAAGTTAGCATTAGCAAGATGAAACGCACACCAGGCTAGCAACGGATTCCTGTCCAAGTAAGCGCAGCCTTTCATTGACCAATAGGCAATGACATAAGATCCACCTTAGAGTTACAATGCATAAAGAACGGAATGCACGAATGGTCTCTCCTAGCTGTCCTTAATTCGTTGGACCTCAAACAGCTTGACGCCTGTATCGTACCAAATCGGCGGGTCCACATTCCTAAAAAGAGGAAACCACAAATTGGTCACAAGTACAAGATACAATTTATGAAGTGACAACTTCCACAAGATCTCGGCCGTCCACACAGAATCTAAGATGGAGGAGAGAATGTTAGTCCATGTGAAATCTCAACTCGGGTCACATATCCATTCACTGGTAGCCAGAGCATTTAGGAGCCATCTCAAATTTGTCTGGGACAAGTTGCAGCCGAGTTGTGGACACTGTTGCTGGTGTAAAGGTGTAGAATTTTTATAATGACTTTCCGTCAGTCTTCCAGCAATGAGGAAGTTTATTTATGTGTGTCCCCTCAACTGTGGTTTTGAGGTTTGGGCGAGGCTAGCCACTCAAGGTCATAGATAATATTGTAGAGTAATTGTGGTGTATTGCTCCATAGCGAAACACAGACCAAGGAACTGGCTTATAATGGGCCCTCTGGCCAAAATGTAAACAGTTCTTCAAAGCTGATAAGTTGCTAATGAAAATTTGTGCGGACCTGATCCAGGACAAATGCAGAGCTTCTTGTAGGCAAAGTAAGTGATTCTACCCACAACTTGCCCGCGACATGTCCCAGACAAGTTTTGAGATGGTTCCTCAAGGGAATGCAGTTGTCACATTTCATGAACACAGACAGTGACTTGACCGAGACCGAATGACTCGTGATACATGTGCAATCCACCAATCATGACTTAGTAACAGACCCTGCTCTGTGTAAACTCACATGCAAGCAAACACGTAACGCTTCATTCCGACCACTACAAGCTGCCCACCTAAGACTGGAAAGACAGACCATCTCCAGACACATATGCCACATAAGCCATCTCTGGAGCAGCCAGATTTTTACTGAAAGAGAGGAGTCAAGTTACAAGACATACCTGAGGTAGATGACTCCCCACATGTAGGTGCGGAACCACAGAGTGGTGCCACTGTTGGCCTGATACTTGCGGATCAAAATGGGGTGGGGTACCGGCAGCAGGCCCACCAGCGTACCGTGCTGAAGAAACTTCAGTATCTCAGTCTCGTCGGTGAGGCCCCTGTAGACCATAAAGTCATGCACATTGTCATGGCTTAACAAAAGACAAGGACACCAGTCGCAATGCTGAAACAAATTAACTCCACAACTACTTATGGGTTAAGTAGTATGCACAGAAAATGTTTCCACAGCATCAAACAGGTTACCAGCCACATCATGTTAATATATACCTCTTGTGACTGGTTCCCTGCAAAAAACTGCCGAGCCGTATTTTCTGCAATTTGTACAACTGTTAGCAGAAACGTGGGGCCTACTTTATGGTTCAGTTAAACAAAAGTGGGGCATCTTTTCTCACGATAGCTGAAAACTTGCAGTTAACATACAGGTTTGCAAGGGCAAGTGGATTTGCCCAAAGCTTGGATTGAGCAAGCTCTTTTGTCTTCCCCCATACCCTCCCCCCCCCGAGGGCAGCGGTTCAGAGCATGACTGAGGGGGCTTACTTGTCAATGCAGATCTTCTCCACTTGCGGTACCAGGACCTGTAGCAGACGCATGATGGTCTGCAGTGGCAGCTTTTGCTTCCAAGATTGAACCTACAGGAGAAGTTTGGGCTTTAGCTGGTTAACAATGCTAAATGGAATACCACAAACCAGTAAGGTATTTGAATGGCCTGAAGACGCCTACGCAGAACTACGTATGGGCCTGGAAGGTCTGTTTAACCCTAACAGTCCCACATCATCCGATTTCAAAGTGATTAAACATACACCCTAGGGGGTTAGGGAATAATCTTTCTTTGTTCAGCGGTACATGCACATTAGTTCACATGAAGTTTATACGGCATCTTCTAACAAATTGAAAAAAAATTCATTGGCTATATTTACAAGTAGTAAATAAACAACGAAATCAGCTGATCCATGGACAAATTGCAAATCTGAAATTTTATATAGACTGTGTTTACAATGTATAACTTCCAAAGATCTGAAAGAATTTTTAATCAAGTAAGAAAATTCAACCCTGTTCAGCTATGTTTTCATATATGACTACAAAATGAACAAAACGGCATGCCTTTGTTGTGCTTTTCTTCTAAGGGAATGTATCAATTTTCAAACGGGAAGACGTACCCAATCAGGACTCGGTCTCCAGTCCCCACTAGTGCTGCTGGCCGCTGTACTAGACACCGAGGAAGTCCTCTGCATGGCCAGGGCCCGGTGCTCCACAGCCTCGGGCTGGGAGCCGATGGGGACAGCCTGGGAGCCGATCGGTCCCGTGGGCGAGGGCGACCCCAGGGGGCTTCCGCCTTCTGCTGCTGCCTTCTTGTCATCAGTTGCGATGCTCTCCGTGTCGCTGGCTCCCTGTGATGTCGCCTAACGGACAGATTGTAAAATCGTAGACGTTGGTGTGTGACTATGTCCAGAGACAGTGAAAATATCATCTTCAAGCAAACCCTGGCTCTCTATTTTGTAGCACAATCTAAGCGCTTTGTGTTGTATCCTTTAGTCTTTGAGAACATGCATGAAGTCATCTAACCTCAATATTTCATTTACAACCTGCGTTTTGTCTTTCTTTCAAAGAACTGTTCAATGACTGTCAGTGTTTCTACCAAAAATGTATTGCTTAACCTTGCATAGGCTACGTGCATGGTCATAAACCAAGATGACTTTGATCACACCCAAATCTTTTATCCAAAGCTAGAGGCTTCATCTTTGCCCCCTGGGAATCCATGCAGACAACAGACGTAGCCACACGTCTGGAAGCCTGTTTCAGACATGATCGATATCTGACCCCGGGCACCATCCTTGTCAATCTACAACCTGCAGTTCATGTTTGACCCAGGGCTATGATGTCAACAGAAAAGCAAAGCGGCTCTAGCTTGTTCGCACTTACCCCAGCGGTGGAGGTACCGTCAGCTTTGACCGCGTTGCCCGGCCCAGTGCTCAGCACCTCTCCAGAGGGGGTGACTTTGGATGTCTCAGTCATGGAACCAAGACCTAGGAAAAATGTAAATCCCAGCAAATGGGTCCAATGAAGGCTAACTCTTACAGCCGTGAATGTCATCCACAGTTTTTTCTACAGCGTAAGAGTAGAATTTATTTCGGCTTTCGGTAGGCGACTCTCTTCAAGATGATGGCCGGGGTTTTGTACATCTGCTTTGCATGCTAGTACCCTCGTCTCAAGATATTGTATAAAACACAATGTAATATCATACTCACATCCTTCGAATAAGAACATTCCAGTGCTACACAGAAATTGAGGGGGGGGATGTGTCATCAAAATGAGCCAATTTGCATTTGCAAAGCAAGGTCGTTCGGGGACAAAGCACTTGAGTAAGTCTGTGTAGGGACGCAATGATAGGGCAAACTTGGCTCTCATGTCCAAATGACCTCAGATGCACTTAAGTTTGGGCATGTACAGTTAGAATACCGAAATGGCTTAGTGTTCAGTGTTTGGATATTGGCGAGACATCAGAACCAAAGTTTTAAGAAAAGAAGCTTCACAGAATAGCAACATATTGGAAAAGAAGACAAGACTGCCACTGAACAACTCATCTAGATCTTGAACGACATCTACAAGGTCTAATTTGAAAGAAACTCTGCCAAATCAAAATCTGAAAATCAACTTTGCCTGCGAAGTTACACCGTCTTTGGCATTCTGTAAAACAGCGTCTGGCAAATTGGAATGCCCAGGTCATATAGGTGTATAAAGATCAAAGAATAAATACATTGTGCGGCTGACGTGTCAAGGACCAGGCCCTTATATCGGGCTCCATCAATGACTCTTGACAAACCTGGGGTGGCCAGGAGCGAGGCCTTGAGGGTGCCCGGCTCAGCGTCGACGGGCGGCAGGGCCCCCTCCATGGTGGTGGGTACCACGTCGTCTGTCGGTGGGGTGGGATTGGTCTTGCGCCCTCGCTTGGCCAGGGCCTTGGAGATGGAGGCTTGGTCGCAGGGCAGGTTGGCCAGCTGGTGGAACACGTTGCGCTTGCGGATGATGGTGTAGACTAGATTGGAGTTGCCTGGATGTCAGAAGATTGACAAAAATCACGATATCATCTTGACGTAAAAATTTTGGATAAGACAGATGTTTGTCGCTGAGCATAAACTGAGATATAAAGTGAACATTTCTTAATAAAATAAAATGGGGTCAAAGATGACAGTTTTTGAACTTAAACTCAAAAATTTGAGGTGGCTGAGGAAACTGTAAAACATAGATCTAAATATAATGATACACAATTAAAACTGACCAACAAATGTAACTCAAAAAGTGCCAAACTTCCAATCCTTCATGCTCACTGTTTCCTCAACTTCTTCTAATGCCAAGGTCAACCTATTACAAAGATTTTAATTTTCTAGCAAACAGGGGACATATGAGAGAAAGGAACACACTGACATTCTGTTAACCACTTCCTGCCGGGCGACCTGTTTTCGGGTACATAGGCTTTATATGCAGAGCCAGGGAGCCAGGAACTGGGACAAAAGAGTTGGGCCTTATAACAAAACACCATGCTCAGCACAAAAGACTGAGCTACTGGGCATTACCGACATTTTTTCGCTCTCAATAGTGGAGATAATCCAGCCTTGTTTTGAAACAGTATACTATGGTTTGAGGCATTTAGAGCGAGCGGATTACCACCGGGGACAAAAGCTCTCCACCACCGAAATGATGAGCCACACAGCATGAGCCACGCTGCATGCTAATCTGGCCCCTATTGAAAAGAGGTCAGCAGTGCACTGTGCCGGTTTCGGGAACAAAAGAATCTTACGTAACACCGCAAAATCTGGGCTCTTTTTCCAAGGCTGCAGGCCTGGCTGAAATATTCAGGAGTCAATGAATTTTACCTATCAGCTTTAGAATAGTGCCCAAAGAGTCTTTCACTGGGTATAAACGGCCATTAAATGAAATGATGAATTTTTGAAGAATTTTGAAAACAGAAAATCTTGAAGAATCTTGTCTTGCTCAAAAAAAAGCAGCAACGAGTGGTTAATAAAAGACCTGGTACATCTTTATATTATGACTCAATCATATAATGCAAACTTTTATCAAATTCTCCCTTTGTTTTTGTTTTTTAAACAATCCATCTTACCGTCAAACTGATACTGTATGATGTTGTTGAAGACCTCCAGGAGGAAGAAGACCAGATGGTGGTTAGCAGGATTGGAGAAGAGAAACCATGGGGTGGAGAAGGCTTCCAACAGGTGGAGCAGCTTGTTGGCTGAGACCATGGACAGGCTCTTCAGGTACGGGGACACTGTATTGAACAGGGGTGAGATGAGGGGATGGATGGATGAAGCAAAAATCACGCAGCATCCAGCAGAGGGCGGTATGACTTGACAGTGATAAAGGACTTTGAGTTTACAGGGCTTTTATCACCTGATAATAATTACCTAATTATAATAAATAATTAACAATTATTATGATAATAATTTTATTACCTAATAATTCTCTCCAAAATGACCCTTAGCCTTTTTTGAGGCATGGCCAACACAACAGGAGGGTGCTATCTGAAGCAGGTATATCTGGGGTAAACAAAAGATTTTACCCAAACCAAATAGCGCCCTCTATGTTCATCATACCTGAAACAGGGATACGGATCACATGAATCCTGCACTGTGTAAGGGGTAAGTCCAAAAAAAGGGCCCTTCTCTGTCCCAAACATAACTCCACATTTTCTTTCATTACATAATCATCACAACGATTAATTAGGCAAACATTCGGGTGTGTATTCTCCATCCAGATGCCGAACAGGAGAATGAAAAACGCTGCTATCCAGTAATGTCTTTACTCTTGTACTGTCTTTGAGAATCTATGAGAGTACAATTTTTACAGTTACTGTTTTTTTATTTTCGTCCAAGATTTAGGTATTGTCAGTCTACTTTTTATCATAATGCATTCCTGAACACCTGTACATAAATATTACAGAATTGGGAGAATTTACTTCTACACAGCGATTAATGTTTAGTTGTCCTTTTTAAAATATTCCTTTATTACATCAGCTTAATGTTTTAAGCTGCACTATTGTCTTTAATGTGTGTTATAGTTTCGTTACTGTTTCTTGCACTCTGAACTATTTATGTGTGATGTACTTTCTTACATTCTTTCTAAAGTAACTTTTCAAGTTGTCACCTGGGACCTGCGAGAGACCAGTTTTTATAAACTGAACGGGTTTCCCAGTGTAAATAAAAATAATAAAGGTGAAACTTCGTTACATATTGGACATAGCGGGTGCCAAACCATGGACTTGCCCATGAAACGCAAAAAATATATCAATGATTAATTCCACAGAAAGTTGGAATCTGAGCTAATATTGTACCCCTGTAGTAAAGAAATCACTACGAGATTAAATGAAAAGGAATCTCGGGTAGAAAGGCTTCTAAGAAGCTTGCTAACTGATGCACAAAACTCGAGTAAACGGCCAATGTTTAAGGAAAAAAGGAATGATTCCACCAAGCTTCCATGTACTCGAGTTCTAACGCACTTGTTACTGGACTATACAAAGCACATTCCCCAGGCCAACAAATAGCATCTGCACAGAGGAGTCATTCGTTTACACATCAAAAGGTCCGTTTCCTCAAGGGGAAATGCCTTACCATTTACAATAATGGTGAGCAGGCAATCATACAATGGAGCAAGTCTTTGGTGGCCAGAGGTGATGATCTTGTGAAAAACCTGCAAACCAATCAACAGCCAAAAGGGAAGCATTCATAAAGTGAACAAAATGCAAAAGGACGACCTTAAAAAGACAGTCAATCAGAGATGAGAGGAATTAGGAGTAAAAAGGCAAAAAAGCAAGAAAAGGAGAAAGACGGCGCCAAGAAAAATGACTGAGTTATACATTGGTGAAACTCGGCGCCCGCTGCAGCATTAAGAGATGGGAACATTTAGGACATGTCTTGTAATCACAAGGCAACAGACGGGAACTTGCTATAAATGATAAAAAGTCTCATGAATTGTTCGGCCAACGACCTTCAAAAGGAAATCAGAGATAGTGAAGACAGGATGCGAACAAATTGTACAGATTAGAAAAACACTGAAATGACACTGTCAAGGATGTTCGATACAGAAGAAAAGTTAAGAATGAAAATGTGGGAAAACGTGATCAGAAAGTAAGGACTCACAATGATGAGGAAGTCGGCATGTGTACCAGTGAATACGGGAATGTCCATGGGCACTCGAACACTGTAGGGCTTGTTGAGCCTGACGCCAAAGTTACGCTCCCCGCTCAACAGCAGCAGAATGAAGACCCCTATGTGCATCAAGCCAACTCGGGCTAGAAAACATGCAAGTAGATGGGAAATAACATTAACGAGGGCAATGTGAGTTGATAACCTTAAAGTACAATGTACACCTTTCAAGTCAAAATGTGGTCTACCTGTGCTCAAATTCAAACCTGGTGGGAACTGAAATACGATTTTTTTGGTTCGAGAAAAATCTGTGTCACTGGGACGTTTTCTTTACTTCAAACTGACAAAAAATGCAACTCTGTGCATGGACAATTTGGTCAAGTAGGAATGAGCAAACCTCTTTTGAGTTTGCAATAACTGTATGCCACGATTTCACCAGAAATGGCTCACAACTGAAGAATATCTGTTAACTTCAGCCTGGTTTGAGAGAGGTAGACCACTTCCATTCCCCAGAGTTCTCAGATGGTAATGCAATGACGGCAAACATTTGGGAACAATTTCAACCTTTATTTCTATACGCGTAATTTGATCCCTTTACTAAAATAAACAATTAAGTCAGCAATAAATTTCACTTTCAACTTACAATTTGTTGTGTTTGGCACATTCTCCATCAAGAAAATGACAACACAAAGCAATACTTCAAGCTTATTTCTATCCCTCAATCTATTCACAAATGGCAGTTTTGGACCTGTTTGTGAGACACAAACTCACACTGGTCTGCTCTGGCATCGTTCAGGTGGTAGAGGATTGGGACCAGCACCTCCAATACGTCACTGCTCTTCAGGACATAGAACAGAAACTTCTTGTTGTGGTCGCACATCTTCCAGAAGAGGACCAACAGCTCCTGGTGGAAGGCGATCTTTTTGGTGGACCCTGGCAGGTATGTCTACACCGGACAAACAGTTGAGTGCATGAGTGAAAAACTGCCACTGAACACGCAGCAACCATTCAACATGACACTATTCTGATTCCGGGGATAGTTGAGGAAAGCACTTATTCCTAGAGCCTCAACCCCCTCCCCCCTTGGCCTTGTTTTTTCTGTTTTGCGAACTTTCCATGCACCCACCCTGGCTCCTCTAGAAAGCCATCATTAGTGGGTACGACTGAGTCAAGCAGCGTGCATCTTGATAACTGGGGCGACATAATGCCATTAAGAAACTAGACCCCAAATTCTAAGCCTGTGAGCCCTCCGGCCAGTACCTGAATGAGAGGGTTGTTGAGCAGCCTGGTCAGTCCCTTCAGGATAAAGTGGAAATCCTCCTCACGATGCACTCGGGACAGGTAGTTCACAAATAGGTTCTCCACTACACCACCCTAGAGACAACGACAAAATATCTCTGGGGTATGTTGCACTTAAAATGACACTATGTCGCAATTTCTGACCAAAGATGTAGAAATGCATAGGGTACTTAATATTTGAGGCAAGTATAACACAACAAGAGCTAGGCGGGCCAGATTTTTTGCTCAAAGTAGGCCTTGGATGTTTTCTCAGAGGAAGAATTTTAAACAGAGATAATTTGTTCTACACCTTGAAGGTTAAGCTTAACCTCTATGGAAACATTACAAGCCAAGTAGAGTCACAGAGTGAATGTAAAAATTTGAACTCATTAAAATTTGCTGCAGTTTTCTTTGCGTCTTGTAACTTCTTTTTTTCAAATGAAATTCATGCTCTTTGGGCAATGCAGCAGATCATCTACTTTCTTAGAGTTTCCAACCAATGCTTCTGGCAATTTTTTGCAGTCTACTTCCTCACCTCATTCCCCTCGTCTGCTGCATCGACAGTGGGTGGCACCTGACCGTGCACGTTGTCGTGATCCAGCGTCACCACCAGGAGTTGGGCCGCGACTTCCACAACAGGCTCCCGATTGTCAGCAAAGAGGAGGTGGTTGTAGGGCACGCCGTAGCCCACGGGATCGTAGGCACAGACGATGTTCAGGAGGGAGGTAAAGAGAGGCAGAGCGTGCCTGGGAAGTTAGACATGGAAAAATCTTCCTCAGTTCTGGGGGAGAACCTCAATTCTAAATGACAGCAATATTCTTCACATCCTGCACAGCGACCCATCCTTTGACTAGGACCTGTACCACAGTAGTAATTCAACAACTAATCTAGAAAACCACAGTGCGCTATCATGGTTTCAGGAATACAGTAATAATATGTGTATGTCTGTTAAGCTGAGCTTGACTGTTTATCTTAACACTGATTACATCAAGCAGACACTGTACCTGTTATCTGATGAGCAAAAGTAGCTGATCCATTGATTGGGTTGAGAGTGAGCATCACCTAGAAAAACAAACAACGAGGGCGGTATTTGGATATATTATACCACACATCTTGTGGAAATGAATGACACCTGGGCTGATCAGGAATTCCTTTTTTGTCTAAGACCGAAATAAAAGTTCAGCATTGGAGCCAACCTCCGATTTCCGGAACACAGCCTGCCAGTTAATGATATTAATTCAAGCTCTACGCCAGGGATATTAATTTCATACCAGGTGTTGCCCCCTCAGTCTGCACTTGTAAGAAGGAAGTCATGGGTTCGAATCCCACCCAAGCAAGTAAGCTTGTGATTCTTTACAACTCTCAGACCATGCTGACAATGCAGTGTGAATACATGCATACATGTGTAAGGGCAAAACCTGGTGTAAAACATCTCGGCAGTCACATAAAAGACCCTATGAATTCGACCACAAAAATAGAGTCACTTTACTTTAACTTGCGGGAAACAAACATCATCAGAGCCCCAAGAGCTTTACGTGAACTTACTGACAGGGGGCAGGTACATAGTCTCTGAGAAGCAGGTCAGAAGCAGCTTGAGGAGCTCGGTCCGATTCTGGTCCAGCAGGGCCGACTGGGGAGGGGAGTTAGCAAAGCCCACCCCGGCTTCCCAGATGTACTCGCAGCTGTCGATGGACTGAAGATCTTCGTGATTGTCCTGGGGATGTAGGAGGAAATGCAAAAGGAAAACATGTTATTGTTTCAGTGAGTAAGGGTCCACTCTGAGAAGCTGTTTTTATCGAAGCCAATTGATCAACCGATGGTAAATGTGTATTAGGCACCTGTGGATTACTACGGGCCGTTAGATCTAAAAGGTGAAGTCTGATGTATGAACCTTGGAAAAACTTGCTGGTGGTACATGTATATTACGTGACATTATTTAAAATAGAACCCTACACCTGTATACATGAACACTTTGATGTCATATGCACATGGCAATATATTTCGTCAGATCAAAGAACCATGCAAAATGGTAATTTAACCCTAAACCCCTTGGCCGTTTTGTGAGGCACCTTCCATCCTTCAAAATCTTCCGATTATCCATGATGCAAAAAAAAAATGCACTCATCCATAATCCTGCACAATCCTCCAGTATTTTTTTAATATACATGTACTCCATTGAGGAGTGCCCACAGCCTCAATCCTTCAAAATCCCCTGGCAATTCCGGTCATTGTGTTTAGGCAGCGTGAATGGTAGGCCCTCTCCTGGAGCAGTATGGAGGATTTATGCAACACAAGGCCTAACCCACAACCTTGACACAGTGCATCCTTCGCAATCAGCCACACTGTTTTGTCATCCTTCCTCAATCCTCCAAAATCCTCCAAAACCACTCATGGGATTCTGGAGGATTGAGGAAGGCTTGGGTTAAGTGAATAGGACATCGTAGCATTGTTTTGCATTTTGCTGAAATGACCAAAGGCAAGATGTTACCAAAAATCCCTAAATCAGAACTGAGGTAACTTAACACTTCACTCATACTTCAGAGCCAAGAAATGACCTGGCCACTTCAATCACTGACACTGGGAACTTCTCTTTGCACAGCCTGATGTTTCTGAGCAAAACTGATCCTCCGAACAAAGTTGTTAAATATAGCGTCTAAAACCAAAAGGTGAAAGGACAACGTAACATTCTTACCGGTCCCGATTTCTTTGTGGTGGAAGCCACCGTAAAGTCCGGACAGAAGAGAAGATCAGCAATAGCATTGAGGAGAGACTGTGCCAAAGGGAGTGATTCCTCATCGCTCTGTGAGATGAAAAACGTTGTCTAAAAAGATCAGATATTCGTGATAATGTTGAAACTGTTAGGGTTACGTATTCTCAAGCTACTGACAATCAGTTAATGGTTAGTAACTCTTCAATCTACATCAGGAAGGAAATCTTAAAGGAAAAGCAGTTAATTAGAGGCACAGACTGAGATCACGTGGCAAAGCAAGATGAGTAAATTTTAGATTTTGGGGCATAATGTGCAGGACAACACGACAATACCATCATTTTAACTTAGGAAAGTACACAATAACATGTTGACACTGAAACACAGAACTACATATTTCAAACAGAATAATTTTCTCAAGTACAATTTAGCAATCATCAGTGCTGCACGTAGAACAATCATCATACACTTAGATGAAAATCAAAATTGGATATTTATGATGTTATGGTAGTTATGCTGCTAATATTAACAGTAAATCAACTACATGTATACATCCATTAGCACTTCTTATTTTTATTTTATTTTCCATTATTTTTATAGGTCAACCTGTGAAGAGCAGCAAAGTCCAAAATGGGAATATGTTTGTATGCAGGCCAACACGGCAAAGTGAGCCAAATCAAACAATCGAATATGCTCAGCACAAGCAAATATAACACAGGAACAGCTTTGGAACCAACCTAACAGAATCAGCAGATCACCGCGGCAGTGAAAAATGTGTTCCGACAGCTGGCATTGATTCAGCCATATATCATGTAGGTGGAGTTCACGAACATGTAAAAGTACTCGCAGATGCTTTCTAAAAAGTGGTTCATTTAGTGGTCGTAAAGGTGCTTCCTAAAGAATTGACAATTCTATTTGAACTGTGTTTAATGGTGGCCTCTCTCTTCTCTGAGTCTGTCTGAGGATATTGATCTTAACAAGTACATGTACACGTAATGCTTCTTGATTTGAACTAAGTTACAATGAGACGTGGAAAATCTGTCAAATTAATCCAACATCAATCACAATTAACAAATGACCGACGGATAGGGAAAGTGGAACAGAAGTTTTAGTTCAAAACACACACAAATATTAGCTGTGGTTTTTTAAGTAATTGAACATTTTTTAAAAATCACAAAAATCCAGCATTCAACCTCATAACCATGGAGACGGGGCAGATCCTCTATATGAAGCTATCGTCAAGATTTAAAAAACAGGTGAGAAACACAAGAAAGTTCATGCAGGGTTGAATTTTTTCAGGTGCCACAGTATATTCACAGTGCAAGGTATTCCTTACACTCACATGTACATCCAAAGACTAAATGTTGGCAATCGCTCCTGATCACATTACTGTACATCACCAATGTACTGAACTAGTCCACAATTAAATGAAACAGAACATTGCACTACACCAGGTAAAAATGAACTGATCAGCATATGGAATTGCTGGACCATAAATTAATGCCACACTGGACCAAATGACGTATAAGTAATTTGACGAAGTGAAATCCTGTTACACTACGTATAAGCCTAGCTTTGCAGATTGCACAGTGCAGGCAACAAAATTACATGTGGACCTGCCTTTGAAATTATAATTTCTGTTGTATTGTACAAACTGAACTTTTTAAGAAAAATTTAAATACTGCTCACAAGGATTGGTAGTTTAGACAAAAATTGGAACTTAAAGGTACAATGTACTTCTTTTCTTTGGTATCGAATACATGTACGTGTGCCTATTGCTTTAGTATGCATTTACATGTGCATGTATATGTAGCTCCGTAATGTGCCATGTGGATGTTTAAAGACAATTTTGTCTTTTTTGAAACAAATTCACACAAGTCACTGACACAGTCAAATGCCCTTGGCTAATAATTGACATGAGCTCAAATGAATTACTGCATTATTTCTACATAGATGGACGTGTTACCGGCAATGCCTAGCATGCCTGGGTTATAAACAATGAGCCAGACATGCTAATGAGAAAATGCAACGGACGCATGTTGCGTTGGCCAAGAGTGAAACGTGTACATAAACGCAGAGTATCAAGTGCGGTGTTATGTTTCCCTGATTCAAAACGACTAGGCATGTAGGTGGTGCTCGATTACAAATAATATATTTTTGTTATTAATGACATGCGCATTAAAAAATGCATTTGCATTGCATTATGAACTGTATTCCTGAATTTGCTCAATGCAAAATATTCAATGACCAAAACAAAGGTGACAAAAATCTGAATTTTAGGTAAATTTCCTTTTGGCTTGTTCCTTTTAACATGTCGTGACACAGTCATAAGGTTTGCAAGTAATTATGTCAGCTTCTCTGAACAAACATCCGACTGATGTACATGTAATCAGACATGCAACTTGGACTTGGACAAAAAACAAAAAATGACGATATTCACAAGACTTTGTACAGTGTTTTTTCAATTTTTAATGTCACGAGCGTGAAGTGACAAACAAGGAAATCAGTTGATCCACGGAAAAGTTGCATGCCTGAGTATTGGCATGGTTGAATACAACCAAGTGATTTCAGAATGAACAAGATGGGTGCTGCCTAAGGCACATGCATGAGCATGGTCACAGCAGATGAACTTAAACTTCAAAACTCTAAGCACCCACTTATCACAGTACATGAATGTTTTGTGCAAGAAGGACTAACTTTGTCTTCAATTTTAAGCTTACTTTTACGAATGGTTAACGAACGAAACAATACATAACTTAGTAGATCTGAAAAAAAACAGAAAGAAGAAACTCACAATGTCATCCATCCCCTCGATACCATACTGCAGAGATGAGAACAAATCAGAAAATGGGAAAAGAAGAGGACAAGCTGCAGAAATATCAAAATTGAAGCATGCACAGGAAACAAAGGGTAAAAAGCATATAGATGATGAATAGTTGATCAAAGTTTGAGCTATCATGCAATGTCTATCAAGCCTCCACCATATGCGGAAAAGACCATAAAATCCACAAGAACAGGCAGGATAGGCCGAGACGTTTTTCAGGCAAAGCTGCTTGTTTGAAAGAGAATGTTATTTTTGTCATTTTATTGCATCGTTACAAAAGTGAACCACGGGGAACTAATACCGTACTTGGTATGTACATGTACGTAGGTCAAACTATAGCTGCACACAGAAGTCTTGGCTGTTGCTGACAGCAGTACGTGTCTACAGAGGGTTTGCATGGCTGCCATCTTGCAGGCCAGTGCTCTTTGTTCCACAGGGTATCCACAAAGGAGGTTTCCCTGCGGAACAAAAGAACTGCCCTGCAAGATGGCTACAACGCAAAGCCTCTATTGAGGATGTAGCCACTTCCCTAGAGACATATGTTCTCACGAGCCACAGCCAAGATGTATGGATACATTTTCACTATCAAATGAGGGATCTTTGGGTTATCTGGAACACAGCCTTGGTACGTAACCAATTATCAATTTGTATGACACATATTAGCTTCTGAGTTTGCTATTTCTGAACATGAACAGGTTGGCAATCAGGTTATATAATGTTCATCTGAAATGTGTCATTTTCAGTACCAAATAAAAGGTCTATCAACTTTTGGGGTAGAGAGATACTTAACTATGTGACTTTTCAATTTTTGTCAATTACTTGGAAACCTTCTATCTCATTGTCACAGTTGTCCCACTGACAATTGTCACCAGGAACGTTTTAAGTCAACACCAATCTGGCTGCACTACGTACCACAATGTAAACTAGTGATGTCTGACACTAGGATGGGTATATTTCCTGAGCGCAGACTGGTCTGACTTACGGACTGTCCAGGCAGGGTGGACCAGAAGAAGCCACGCCAGTCAGGGTCCTCAAAGATGTAAGGCAGGATGCGGGTCAGCAGACGGACAGAGTTCAGCACCACCTGTTGGTCCTTAGCAAGAGCGCAGCCGCCCTCAGAGGCCGACACCAGCTTCTCAACCGCCTGAGGAAAAAGTCATTACAATTCAGTAAATACAAGCTCCAACATCTAATCAAATAAAGCGGAGTCAGGTTGCTATAGCGATTGGTACATTCGTTACCTTCTATCTCTGCGAGCCGGGTTCAAATCCTGCCCAAGCCTCTCTGGGTTTCAAGTCCCTTCATTCTGCAGGTTTTCCCCCAAGTTATTTATATGTGATTTTCCTCCCATCTCTAGAAAATGAGCATTTCTCCCAAAGCCTCACGGAAGAACAGTTTGTAACGCGTGATGTTTAACCATGACTAAATAAAAATAAAACCTGCCAATGTCTGTGAATGTCACAGTTGGACGCTCTCATAGGCATCACATGCCAAACTACAGAAAGAATGTTTCTGCAGGATTTCATGCAAAGCTACAAATTGTCAGACATACATACAGTTCACATTCCTGTCAACCATTTTGGAAAATTATCGCAACTCATTTGGGCTAAGTATGTTGCTCGTAACACTTCAGGGTTTTTTTTTTTTATTTCACAGTCACAAACCCTCTCTCCAAACTACTACATCTGAAAGTTCAAAATTAAAACAATTTCTTTTGGCATTTCTTTGTGTGAAATTCTACGGACCAGTGAGCAGTGGTCTGGAGAAGATGGTTTGATCCGGGAATCAAGAACAGGTTGTTCTACATGTAACTGAAAAATAAGCGTCCAGATCCATCACTGGGGTAGTTTTTCAAGGCACATCCTCATGATGGTCTTTACCTTGTAGCACAACGTGGCCAGATTTGACGGTGACTCCTCCCTCAGGGCTCGGATCTCAGCGGCTGGGATGAGGGCAAATACATCTCCCACACTGGTCACTGTGTCGGCCCAGAATTGGTCCCAGAATGCATCGTCCCCTGCTTCAACGGGCTAAAGTGTACACACACACAACCTTCAGAGCTGCAAAAGTGCCACGATCGCATCTTTTCACGTTAAACTCATGTCCTTGTGTCATGTTATCTGTTTATAATGAATCTCTAAATCAGTCAGAACTTTTTACAGATCGCCTGTCAATAAGAATGTGTACACAGCTGTTTGTGCTACCTGTCTCCAGTGCAATGTTGCACTGCCATGAAAAACTGTCTGTCATAAAGTAACTGTGGTATTAACGCTGTTCACTGAATTCCACAGGCAGGCTTTTGTATTAACCTTGTACAAAACTTCTGTCATCGTGTTAAAGCCTGTTCATTTGCATGAACCATTTTGAATAGGATGGTGAGAAGAAATGTTAAAGATTTTATCCATCTCTGCAGCATATGCAGATATAGGGGGTAGTGTTGCAAACAATCACAAGATCATTTGCAAGACTATTCAGTAGACCAGTCACAATTAACAGGGTGAACACTGACAAAGGAATTTTTGCAGTTCATTTGAATAGTCTAAATTCAGACTGGAGGTCTTGTGTTGGTGTCTGCAAGGTCTCGACTGCAACACTGATAGGGATGCTTGATTAAGGGTAATATTGGAACCAGTTAACCGATAAAATAAAGCCCAGTACTCCAGTTAACCAGTATTGAAATCCAATCAAAATTTTGAGGAACCAAAAAAACTGGAAAGAAAAAAACAGGAAACAGGGGCAACGTGAAAAATGTGTTCCCTTTTGTCTTTCCAAAAATGCTAGCGTTCTGACATCACAAATGTCTGTAAATCACCGTTGTCTATGTCTATCCGCAATGTCGAATCACAGCATGTGATTTACCATTTTACGGCAGTGAGTACATGTACGTATTGCGTTTAATTTCAAAATTTCTCAATAAAAACTTTCTCTTCGCTGTCTTGTCAGTAATTTTTAATGTTATGAGTACTCACACCTATAATTTGGAATCAGTTCCAAATGCGCATTAAACATTCTTGAAGTTAAAGTGCCATTAGGACATTCTTCCCAAAGTTAACCCAATTTTACAGTGCATTTTCAAAACCCAATTATGAGTTTATTTTGTGATTTTCACGAGTGAGGCCAGGTTTAGATTTACATTGTTCTTTATTGGGTACAACTTAGCTTGAGAAAATCAATATCAGAATGCTCGTGACATCTGGAAATTTGCATCTTGTTTTCATTGCGCAGCCTAAGCTGATACCGACAAGATGCGCGCGCCGTGTGCGCCGCGCTGTAGCTGTGACGCTATCTATCTTACAAATCTCCCATCCCCCTTCCCCCCGCCTCTGAAAATGGTCGGACCAAAATGCTGAGCAAGCTTGACCATTGGCCGGCCTAACCTATGCGCAATGTGATAAACACAAATGGCATGTACAGTGTAATAGTCATCGGGTGGAAACAAGAAATTGCTGAGTAAACTGTCAAATTTTTTAAGAAATACTTGGTTTCAGTCATGGTCTAAAAACTTCCATTGCACCATTTGGGGTAGGCCTAACAGTGCAGGGCCACTTGCGAATATACATGTACCCCCTAGAATCACTGGCTACAATGTTGGGTCGGTTTGGAGTGACTCCGGGAAGAAGGCAAAAAAAGTCCACATCAGGTTTACGAATTCTCTCGGTCACTGGTTGAACGTTGGTGTGGCGTCACTATACAGAATATTAAAGGCCTAGCCTAGTTACTATAATATGAAGTAGTAAGCATACACATACGGTAGTGCTTATGCAGGTTTACGTGTACAGTGAAGTCTAGTTAGTCATGATTTTTATATAGGCCTAGAAGTGAAATGCGTTACAAGTAGAATAACAGTAACATAACACTACAGACATGACAGACAAGACACAAAAAAGTGACCTTTACACTTCAGGCTGTGGTGTGGGCCTAGTAGTAGGACCTAGTAAAATGTTATTCAGAATCAGATTTTCCGTCGGTATCCTATTTTTACCTGTGTTTTCGTGGTCAGCTGTACCACAGCCTTCCTGAAATTCAGCTTTGAGTCTGTTCCACCCATTCCGAGATGCTCTCTGCGACATCAATTTTTGCGATTACAGATTATTCAACGGTGAAATAACGAATTTCTCCACGATCACATCTACACGTCCACACTAGCATTGGACAAATCTACATACTGACACACAGCAGCTTGTTTTATATGACGTCACATAATCGTCGCAGGTCTGGGAACACTTGACATCGCACAAAAAACAAGTCACTGGTGAATTTACCCGACTATCTAGATGAAATATAGACGACTGTTTCGTGTAATATCGTTCTGCGTGCTACACCAGCCGTAGTATGGCATGCTCCGTTTCAGGCTTTACACTCTCCACCATGTGTACATGTACCTGGAGATGAAACCTGGAGGGTCTATGAGTACACATACCTCAGCCAGAACTCAGAACAATCCATAGACTCCAATCTGTGTTTGAAGGCGCGGCGCTGATGCATATCACTGCCTCTACAATTCTTTCTATACCCAGCAAGAAATTAGACCGAGGGGTACCCCCCCAACAAGTCCAATCCCTATACACATTCCAGACTATAGTTACTTAACACATCCCCCCCAAGATGTCTGAAAGGAATTCCCCAGAATCCTGCGAGACAATGACCAACACAAAGCAGGGGGGGTTCTCTCCGTCTCATACCTTGCTGCATATAATTCTTTCAGGCAACCGTTCTATGTAGACACCCTTCTCAAATTGGGATTTCAGACTTGTACACTGTACTCCACACGTGGTCCATCAGTCTTGTCAAAGGTGTATTCTTACGTAATGTGGTCTCCCATGCACATTACGTGCTACAGGAATTTCCAAAGATGTACAGGTGGACGTACAGTATGTAATCCATCACGTTACTTTCACATGGAACCAAATTCTTTATCCAATGGACAGTTGAGAGAGGACCATAGTTATATATTACATCTAACTCTATGGAAAGGACACACATTTGGAGCTAGAGCCCAAGGGGAAAGTGCGCTAACCTTGCACATCTAGTATGGACTTGTGAACAAAAGATGTCCACATGATGCAGGACAGCAAGACATCCTGTGGATTTACACATGTCCAAAGGACGATTCCCCTCCTCTGAAAAAGAAGTTCAAAGGCATTTGGGGGTTGGGGTCATCCGTCGTGAAAGGGAGACGAATAGGAGCTGAAAATCATGTTCCCAGTTCCAGAAAAACAAGTATTTTCACTCAGTTTTCTTAACTACACGAAAAGAAAAGAATGTCCACACTAGGTATGCAAGTGTGTGTGAAGACTTGTGTGTACATAACACACTTCACACTATAAGTCTGCAGAGGGGTTCAAGTCAGAGAAAGAATTACCGATAGCAGCATCTTAACACGGTGCTTAATCACCTCCCATTGATACGTACTGCACATGAACTGCACACACTAACCAAAATCCGTTATTACAAGACAAAAAGACAGGTTTCACAAGAAGCAAAGAGACACAAACTATTTGATTTTCTTTTTCATTTACTTTTTCAGAAGCTCGCCCTCTTGGGGCAACCACTATCTCATCGGAAGCAGTTAAACATCAGAACCCATACGTTGTTTGGATTCCACTCTACACTTGCACTACATTTTTTTAAGCTGAACCAAGCAAGTTCAAATTACAACTAGAGTTCCATTTCCAGTAGAGTTCACTTTACAATCTGTTTTCTAGATGAGTGTTACTTTTTGAGTAAAAACTTCAAATGATTTAGATGGATATAATGTAGGGTCTGTTGAGCAAATCCAATGATAGTAAAGATGTACATGTATATTGTACATGTGTTTCGAGACATTCGATTCCTTAGAAGATGTTACTGGTTTTTGAAAAACCTTTTTTACCGAACTAGGGTCTTAAAATGAGTACTTCCATTTCCTGGTTGAATGTAAGTTTTTTGATTTTTAAAGTACCTGTACATGGAATGGAGAAAGTATTAATTTAAATGTGGCCAACAAAAAATGAGAGGGTCCAATGCAACTTCTACGCGCAACAATCTCTGCTGTGCTGCCTCAACCTCTTGTTGCACTAGCCTCAACCTCTGAACTGTGCACTCCCCAACCGGCCGTTGTGCCGCCCCATCCCCTGTGGTAGCGCGCTCCAACCCGTCATTGGCTCATGTGCCCCAGCCCCCCTTGTTGTGCTAGCCACAACTTCTGCATTGCGCAAGCCACAAGCCTTTGTTGTGCGCATCCTACAACCTGCTGTTGTGCCGCCCCATCTCCTGTGGTAAGCGTGCCCCAACCCGTTGTGTGCGCCCCAACCCTTGTGCTTACAGCAACCTACATGTTGGACAGGCCCCAGCCTGAACTGTCCACGCACAGAAGCAGCACTGTGCTCACATCACTTCTTGTTGGACACATTCAATCAAAAACTTGGGAGGTTTTCAGGGACAGATTTCAAGGGTCCATTATGAACGAACAGTCAGAACTACAAGTTATAATTTAAGTAAAATGAAAACATCATGTGGGCGTCGTCAGTGTAACTACTCCCATAGTGGCCTGGGACTGCACTCTGAGTCCCGAACAGCTAGGCCGTAGCGCTAGACCAGGGAACTCTGTCGCCTGGGTTTTGTTTAGTAGGATTGCTGCGGAGCTGCTGCAGGCTGCGCAGTCTTGTAGGTCTTGGCCAGATGGTCAGTGAACTCTTGGTACGGCGACTTGGTGAAGACTGTCTCCTTCCACATGTCTGGAGTCAGGTAGCTGTACGTCTTTGTCACTGCCTGGAAAGTTGCCTTGGCTGCAGCGGGAGATAGCATGACAACATCATTATCGCAAGAGACATGGTCTTCCCTGTGTTTTTAACCATTTTTTTCTGTTGTTTCGCTTCCATAATTCATTGGCAATTTTGCTTACCGAAGTTCCCAAGAGTACTTGTTGAGCCACATGCACTTGTGTAGCAATCCTCAATTCCTGCCATCTGCAGTAGTTTCTTGGGCACCGGTGCACTGACGATACCGGTCCCACGTGGTGCGGGAATGAGCCGCACCAGAACGCTCCCACACTTTCCTGTCACCTGATGTTGGAAAACGCAGAGAAATCTTGAAGCATTCCCTTACCAGCTTCCCAAAGTTTCTGTGAATCACTGACTGACATCTTCAAATTTACACCTCTCCAAATACTCAGAATCTGGTACAAAATGTACACTAAAAATTTTAATTACTGGGGCATCACAAGTGATGGTCACTCACCTTGCAGGGCACGGTGTGGGGCTTGCCGATCTTGTTCCCCCAGTAGCCTCGTCTGACTGGGATGACCGACAGCTTGGCCAAGATAATGGCCCCTCGGATGGCCGTAGCCACCTCTTTAGAACACTTCACGCCAAGACCTACGTGTCCATTGTGGTCTCCGATTGCAACGAAGGCCTGTGGGTGGGAAAAAAGGACATAATTTCAACAAGACATTGGCAGACATAAAAACATATGCTCATAGCTTAATTTGTTCTCACAATGAGTCAAAACCAAAAATGATCAGTGGCAACATCAACCCCTAGTAGTGCGACTCAACTGCACTGCTCACCTTGAATCGGGTTCGCTGGCCGGCTCGGGTTTGTTTTTGCACGGGCATAATCTTCAGTACCTCATCTTTCAAGGCAGATCCAAGGAAGAAATCAATTATTTCTGCTTCCTGCAAAAATTACAAAGATGACAATTTAAGATCATTTCATGCGACTTGTGCATCTTTGTAAAGTGGACATTGACGAGAAGGACCCATTATTTGAAGGTGGAATTATTCTGCATTTAGTTTTGACTTCTTTGTTAGGTGGGAAGATATCACTGCCCCCAAATCCCACCTTTATCGGCAGGGAAAACAGGTAGATCTCCTCAAGTGACTTGATCTTGAGGTCCTTGACAAGACGGCCCAGTTTCGTCACTGGCACCCACTCCTTGTCGTCGGGCTTCCCACGGCCCCTTCCACGCCCGCGACCGCGCCCACGGCCGCGGCCCCTGCCACGCCCTCCTGACCCGAAACCGCCACGAAAGCCACCGCGATCACCGGCTGGTGCTGCGTCCGCCATTGCTGCAGAGAAAAGAAAGGGCCAAATTTCCAGTTAAAGCATTTAAAATAAAATTAGAGAACTCGGCACTTTCTTCCCTTTTTAACCAGTGGCTTTGAGAGAACGTTTGTGAGAAAAGAGGACTCATTTTACTCTAACTAAATAAAGCCAAAACTGGATGTTTCCATAGCGCTCCTACAATACCCATCCAGCTGTGCCAACTGCCCCAGAATCACTGAACTTTTTTCCCCCAACTTTCACCTTGGTGCAATGAATGGGCAATAACTTGAGCGTGATCAGTAACATAAACCCAATACAAAGCATTTACACAAAATGAAGAACTTAAAGGTTCAATTCAACTTCAATTCAAGAGCAGCAACAAAAACAAATGTGACAATAACTTTGAGCAAGTCGGCCCGATCAATTTTCCCAAACAATGATTCAGACATGACATCACTTTTAGGCCATGAGAATGGATATCCCGGTTTTCCGTCCACCGCCCACATACCGCTCAAACAGCAGCCAAAATATTTCACTGTTTTCCAAAAAAGTTATTTATTTCAGCAAAGTTGTTGTTTTTTTTCCCCATCGGGAATGGTTAAAAAATGGCTGCGAAGTAAATCAGAAGTTTGTAGTGCACCCACATACAAACAGCGTGATTAGAACAGACTGAGAGCTAGTCTACTTTCAATGGTGGTTCCCTTTGCATGGACACACACTTACCATCAGTGTGTGGTAGCCTATGTACACCAACTAATGAAAAATAAAAAGCCTCCTGGGTTTTCAAAATTGTCTGGACAGAAATCCAGGCCGTCATGCATGGCCTTTACAATTACACTGTCACAGTAGCCTAGGCCTAGTATTTGTCATGTTTGTCTGCAAGACATTCATCCCCATTCAAAAATATCACAGGATCTGCTTTTAGAACTTGCAAACATTTAACAAGCGGCAAATGGTTTTTGGTTTCTCGAAGTCACCAGAAATTCTTGTCCTGACACGCACACGTTCATTGTTCCCGTTATGTTGGAAGATGTGGTAACAATAAAGCCGCCGGGAACCAGCAACAGTTCATAACCAGGCCCAGCCCTTCACTCGAGACAAATTTTGCTGCTAAAATTCTTCTAAATTTAATCCGTATTAACAACCAAAAAGATTTCGAAACAAATCACAAGAAGCCAAGCACATTGTTCATGTAAAATTTACAGTGCATTTAGAAAGGATTTCAAAGAAATACTGGCGATAATTTTTTGTCCATCATTCCCACACCCTCTACTTACGTGATGTGTAAAGGAGAAGGAACTCTGGGTAAAAAAGATCACGTCACCAGAAAAGAAATGAACGGCGCCACCTATATGATGGAGCTTGGAGATTTCAGAGGTTTTCCACCACTTGCGTGCCCTTGGCTTCGTCACAATTTAACCTGCGTCTCTAAACTTCGTGTCTGAAATTGAATTTTAAATGAGAAACATACTTTTTGATCGACAGCATACAAGTTCATGTTCCTTTCGCAAAACTTGGCTTTTTAATGAGCAAAAAATTCAGAGAGATTAAATAGGCGCAAAGAACCCAGTTCGACGCCTGAGCTAGTTACTAGTTTTCTGGCTCAGGCATTTTTCATCCAACCAGAGCCTTTCTGGGTTATCTGTGAGAAAGACTCTGCTACATGTATTTAAAAAAAAAAAAGAAAAAAAAAGATATTCCCTCACTCAGACTTTTCCATCACTTCCATCACTGAAGCGTGCAGCAGTGTGCGTATACATGTACACGTATTTAAGATTTTCGATTTCTAAACTGTAGGGCCCTATTTCTTGTGCCTAGTTTATCGATTCCTGAAATGGATTTGAAAATGTGAGTTATGAAAATTGTTCAAAAATGTGCGTCATTATACTTGTATAGTTCTTGTAATTTGAAACCAATTACTTTCATTCAATAGCGGGGCAGTGGGGCCCGCCGCCCCCGGCGGGGCCGATGCGAGTGCACCACCTGCTCTTTTTGTACATGTAAATCGAAGTGCGCACAAGTACCGCACACCACCATATGCAGGTTGCAAATCGTTTGCTTACGATGTCCCATTCAAAAAATGTGGGCTGCTTGGTTCCAAATTTCACCCCCGTTGCGTCAATGCCTACTGTGCAAATAATTTATGGGAATTACTGATCGAGGATGTATGCCATAAGATAGAATCGCACTGTACATGCATAAAAGAACATAAAATCAGCCAAAATACCACTGGAAAGCAATCCACTCCGCTAAAGAGGAAAACATCTACGACGGCTCTAATACTATTCAATAAAATTCCTTTATTCGCCTGTTTACTATCCACACAAAGAATTTTAAAATGGCAATTTACAGTTTCTACTTTCACAATTATTGTTGAAACATTTATTGTCATCGTAATTATTCATGTAACACGATTCCAGAAACTTCACTTGAAACACATTTGAAACACCCTTGATTTGGGGGGGCTACTACCTTAACCATTATAAACTTTTTGCATGTATTGATGTCAGTATAAATTCAGCCTTCCTTTGTATCATTCAGGTTGAAACTCATGAAATGCTCAAATAAGACCTTCCCCACATCCCTTTTAATATTTCTTTTCGGGCAATTTCCAACTCTTCAATGGAATTTGGCATGACAAAAGCATGAAAAACATCAGGTTTTTATGTTTAGCATCAATCAAATTATGTAGCTGACCAGAAAAAGAAGGTTCAGCATATCATTCCTCTTTATTCCACTCTATAAATTCCCCACTTAATACTTTGCTTGTGAATATTTGTCAAGTGAAGCCAACTCTGATTATTTTACCGCACTATTAGCTGAATATACTTTGCCGAAAACGAGCTGAAGAAGCAAAGAATGTGATCTCATGGTAAACGTCATAAAAAAAAATGTTACCATCAAACTCGGTCACCTTCACCTGCATAATAATTTCCCAGAAACGGTAGGGTTCTTGCTAGTTCTTGCTACTGCAGCACTCAGCACTACAAGACTTACTTAACTAAACTAGTCTGCCAAATGTAAGAACAGGTGCTCAAAAGTGAAATGATCACCAACATATTAAAGAAAACTTGTGCAAAGAGTTAATTTACTGATTTATTAAGACATGCACACACAGTAACTTTAGAATCAAATTACAGTTGGGGGAGGGGCTAAGAAACCTGTATTATTTCTTAAATAGACCCATGGATGGAAAACCTCTTAGATGGAGAGATTACATTGTACTACTGACTGCAAGCAGAGAGTGGTTCTCCTCTTGCGGCAGAAGAAGGAATATGATGAAACCATGCAGGCAGATCTAGTCAAACTTGTCCGTTCTTTGGACCGGAGCAGAAAGAAGTGCTGAGATTTGGAGCAGAGTTTGTTGGTGGGCAGTCACACGTATGTACACTGTGCAACCCGTGCGTAGGACCCAGTTGAAAACAATCACAGAGCAGCTTTACAATTTACGCTGAGCCCAAAAAAAAAATCGGCAGAGTATCAATCACAAGCGATATTTATGCCACGACTCTGTGGCTGGTGACCTGTTCTTGCTAAGCAAACATCTGTAGTGCTATGCAAATATTGGCCTTCTTCATAAGTAGGCCATGTTGAATGGAAAGTGAGGTAAATTTTTTTTTAGTTTGGGAACCAGAGGATAAAAGTGAAAGGAACAAAATAAAAGTTCATTACAGAATAATGTTATTTATGCTGATGAACATTAAAATTTGTGATTAATAATGTCTAAATGCTTTAAGCAACAGTAACAAAAAAAAGAGGGAGTCATGGAACTAATAATAGTCTGCCATCACCCCACTGACCAGATTACAATGAATAAGAGTCTGGGAACATGATCAAAATGGCTTTCCTTTAAATATATATATCTGAGCTTTAGCTGTGTCCCAAATGGGCTTCCATAGATACAGCTAGGTCTGTCAGCACGTCTCCGCACATTTCCAATGGAGTGAAAACCCAGAGTTAGCTCTAGACATTCGAGTGCGGCCTTATCTCTTTGAAATTGGCCCCTGAATTTGGCCAAGACAGAAAGCACATGGCAAAACGCCCTCCCCTCAAGTTTTTATGCATGACCTTAAATACCTCTTCTCCCAAGTACCCAAATGGAATCCATTTTCATCCCTCCAAAAAAGAGTGCTATAATGTGAGCCTATCAATGAAGCTCTCAATCTTGTCTTTCTCCATCAGGCCCACAAACTCGCCGGCCACCTTCCCCTCTTTGAACATCACCACCTTGGGGATGGAGCTGACATCATAGTCCATGGCCAGGTCCGTGTGCTGGTCAACGTCCACTTTGGCCAGCTGGACTCGCCCTGGCCGCTCCGACAGGACCTCGTGGAGTCTCGGGGTTAAGGCTTTGCACGGTTTGCACCATCTGAATAGAAATAACGAATATCCAAGTTGGTGAATTGTTTCAATGTGAATCTGTCTCACCTATTATTTCTGTACTGTCATGACATAAGAAATCTGAAAGTTATTTTATGTCCTGGCAAGGTGGAAAACACATATCTGCACTTATCTTATGTCCGACATCATGTTACCTTCCACACTTTTGTTTTGGGGGGTGACGAGGGTGATAGGATTCATAAAAAAATCTTTTTAGAGAACTTTAGTCCAACAATAAACCCAGTCATGTTTATATTTGAAAATGTTTTCTTTCACTTTGGTGGTGTTGCATTTGGAGGCACAGGTTCACATTTGAGCAATAAATCCAAAACACAGAATCTTTTAAAAAGCACCAAAAAAGTTTTGAGAAATCTACAGCTCCAGAGCTTGTTGACAATATTACTGTGACAGGGATTACACAATGCACTCACGTTGCATAGAAGTCGACTACTGTTGGCATTTTGCTGTTAATAACTTTCTGATTAAAATCCTCGGTACTCTGTACAGTGAACTCTTCATAGGGAGGAGAATCTGCAGATGAAAGGTGCCTGAAAAAAAAATCAAACACACATCAAGGCTTAAACATCTGAGATTACTGCTTATCTCCTTATTCCTCACAAGCTGGAAACCCAAAATTGTAATTTTGAGCCTCTGCTTTTGCAAGAGATGTTTCAGTTGACTTGTCAATCTGTAGAACCAACACAATGGCAACTAATGTCACACTTTGGTTAACCATACAAGAATGTACTGGCTAGACATAAGCCACAGTATAACCGCCGATTCCGACACTTAACGAGCCAGTACTGGTGAATGATGACATCGCGCACAAAATTCAAACAGTCACATTTTACCACGGGATACTGGTGGCCGGCAGACTTGGACCCTGTGAGGCTGTTTCATCTAGGGACAGTTGATGACTTGCGTTGGATTGTGACATAAACTCTGTGAGAAAGTCCCTCACTTTAATTTACTGGCTATTGCACTCTGGCACTAAGCAGGATTCCTTACCCACAATGCTGAGGTAATAGAGTCCGTGGATTTACATGGGGAAAAAGAGGCAAAAGGTTAAGAATAATGATGCATAACAAGTCACATGGACTAAGTTCTACTACTACTAGACAAGGTCCGCTCAAGTTTAACATTCTTCTGCATGGAAGCCACTTCACCACTACAAACAAGGCTAAAACCATTCAAGGCCCCAAAACACCAATAAGAACAATATAAATTTTTTTTCTATTGAAGAGTAGCAGATTGCGTATGAACAGTGACAGTGAAGAAGTCTTACCTGCGTTGCCCTGCAACTGCATTGTTCATGATTCCCGTCATGGCTGATGGAGTCACCAACCTAAGCTGACATTGCCTTGCAGACAACAAGGCACTTGTTAGCACCCTCAACCGAAAGGCCATCTTGCTCAAATTCAATTTTAGTCCACGAGTGCTTTAAACTGAACAAAAAATAGATAAAATAAAACATCGGTTTTAAACCTTGTACATCCCAGAATGATACGCATATCTAAAGTTGAGTGCTGGTCAGAAAAGTGTAAACATACGTTCCACACCAAAGCCACTGCAACTGACTTCTGGGTGGATGCATGCATCTACGTGTGCATTCATCTTTAGGGATTCTAAAAATGCTTGAATCAACGTCAACATGTTCCACACACTCTGCAATAGTCGTAATAGGTTGGATGAGCCAGCTGGTATCTAAAATAACACAGTGCATGAGCACATTAAGCTGGTAAAAACAACTTTTCAATCTTAAAAAAGGAATGTACACGACAGCATGTACAATGTTCTATCTCATCATTGTCAGTAGTATGACAGCTTGACCAATCACAATGCAGCTCCTATCTCCTGTTGCCTGTTCCATATTAGTCATTAGTATAGATGTGATTAGGCAATCATAGCTCAGCTTCCATTTGTAGGTGACAATAAAACAAGAAGAAAAAGACAAGGGCCGCACTGTGATTGGTCATGCTGACATCGATGACTGATCGAGTAACTTGGACTCTTGATTCGTAGAGTCCAAGTTATCACCTGACCACGTCTAAATGTTTTTAAAAGGCATTTCATAGAGTCAAAGCAACTCAGTATAGCAGTAGATGGGAGAAATACTAGTAAATTTAACCATTTTAATGAAACAGGGCTTATAAGGTGAATAGTCCTCCCCAGCAGACATGTGACCTGAGTTTGGTTTTTTTCAGACCAATCTCGTATAGTTGTAATGGTTTGCATATAAGGTGTTCATATTAAGCGGTGTCAGTCTCGGGCCTACAGTACAGGGCAGCGCAGACATCCAGGATTCTCGCAAAGTGGCAGGTACCGCACTGGTGAAAACAGTGACCATGGCAACGTACCCACACACCCACCAGTCCGAGGATCGGGTTACACAATCTTTTCTTTGATCAGTACGTATGCGCGCGCTCGTTGCGGTTGTTTTCATAGGCGCAGTGTGGTTGCTATCAGCAAGTTTGTGAAACTCCCGGATGTCCGCACTGACCCATTCATTTGATATTTTGAGCCATGATAAAACAACAATTTTGGTAAACTTACAATGAAAACCAATCATAGGAATATCAGACGTGTTCCAGCATGTCACTTCACTTTCACTTTATTTTCCGTATGAAACGTTTCATAGTAACAATACAAGAAAACCTATGAAAAAATTTGCAGTCATGACAGTTGGAAACTTGTGATAACTATCTAAATATTTTTCATTTCACCAATAGAGGGCGCTACAATGATTGCCCATAAAAATTGAAAGGCTCAAGTCAAAAGGAAAAAAATTGAGCAACCACACTCAAAACTATTCTGGTTACTTCAATTGATCACAATGGGTCCATTATCAATATCTGTATCAACACCTTGCCGACAAACCAAGACATTCTGCAAGAATTTCCGACTTACCATTAGCATTACCAAGACAGAAAAGTGCAGTAGGCTTGACGTGCACGGACTTGCCCTTTTCGAGTTGTGTGGGCTTGCGATAGCGCGCGCACCGCGCGCTGTCATGTCAGTCTAGTCACGGTCAACCATAGTATTGGTACAGTGCACCGCAAGACACAGGATACTAGACTTTAGCTTTTTCCTTACATTTCCTAAAGAGAAATTAGATGGATTTTTTCCTTGTCAGAAGCAAAATGTAAATATTTAGAATAAACTGCCGTTTTCAAATTAAATTTGTTTTTGTGTTGAAAATACCATGATTGTAGAAATTATTGAAAATATTTGTTGACAGAGGATGGGGATTCCCTTAGCAACATCCTAGCAACAGCGCGGCAGACTCGGTTACATCCCGGGCTTAAATTTCACGCTTCCTTCGATCGAGCACGGCGGAGACGGGACACCAAATGCCCGTGAGAATTTGGCGGAGTGAGAGATATGTTGCGGTTTTATAAATATAATATAGCATATTTACACTGGTAAACTATCAGAAACTTTCTTCTCTTTGATAATAATTAAATGGACAAAATGAAACGAACGCGGTGTGTGAATTCTAGAAAAGTAGAACTTGGAAGATTCTTTTACAACGTTCACATGGTTTACTTGTTCTGGAACACTCACCTGCTCACTGGTCATGCTGACACTTGACAGGGCCTACATTGGCCTTACTCTTTTTAGCGAACGGGAAGGAGTTCCATACTAGGACATCACTCGACAACTTACTTGTGCACACACGCTATGAGACTGGCATGACTGGTCTGAAAAATGTTAACTTGTTTGTTTTCAAACAAGTTAACAAATCATAAATGCGTCAACATTTTCCTTCAAAATTTGTTGTGGCTTTCTAATGCACTTGCTAAACCTAACAGTTATAAAGTAGGCCTGGGCCTAGTAACTTGGCCCACAACTTATGCTTGCTAAGGGAAAATTATGGACAGATGGGGGCGATGGAACTCTCACCTCTCCAGAACATGTATTTTAAAAGCTTTTTTGAGCCAACATTGATATTATTTATTATACAATGCCAATGCAGCACAAAAAGGCCTGTCTTACGACAGCAATTTCCCCCTTGTGTTCATTGCATTCAGAAAAGAAATGGATGGCAGGGACCACAGTTATTTAATTTTGAGTGATAGACCCAGCCTGACAGATTAAATTACTTCTTCTTTAGGTGAAAAGAGAGAACAGTGTGAACAACATGGCAGCAGCAGCAGTGGATCTGAGAGCAAAGCGTACCAAAGCCGTTGCCCCACGTAGTCTGTTTGGTACTGTTGTGGAGATCAAGGACAAGAAGGCTTTGGCCGAGACAGAGAGAGCTCAACCGCTCCCCAAACCCGTCAAACCGGACAGGTTGGCCCCTTACAGAGACCCCAAGGCGGAGGACATCATGAGAGCTGAGGCAGAGGAATTACACAGGCAGATCCACAAGGCTAAATATGCCAAAGGGAACCTTGAGGAGACCCAGCTGAATGCCATCCACTTCAGTCCTGACGAGAACACCATCAAAGGCTCAATTCCGGACGGCGCTCTCACGTTCACCCCAAAGGGACATTACAGCCCGTACCAGAATGATGTCAAACACAACCCTCGCGACATAGCCCTTGGGGAGCAATTCAACAGACTGGGCTTGGATCAGAAGATGGATTATAACTATGACAGATTTCGTCGGCCGGCGACAAACTCCAAGTTTGAACAGGCTGGGACTGTGTTGGGAAAAGGAGGCTTGTTTTCGTACAAAGGAAAGAGTTTTGCGACCGTGGGCGGAATGCCCAAAAGCAGGACTGGTACCGATGGGCTTGCTCCTGTGGAATCCCCTAATAATAAGGCGCGGTCCGGGATTTTCTATATACCCCCCAACATCAGGCACACCTACGGGGACAGTCTGTGTGACCAGCTCCTCGAAAATAAAGAGGAGTTCCGCAAGTCCCTAGAGGCAAGGCTGCCAGAGAGACGCCGCACTGCTGCTCCGCGATCGCCAGTCCATATCGAGATCAAATCAGAGCCTCTCTACGACGCGCTGGGCAATGCACTGAGGCAAGACATTTTCAACGGAGTGTCGCATAGCCATATCAAGAGCTTGAACACCAGTTCCTACACTGAGGATGTTCCCGCCAGATCCACAGAGACGTATCCACCCACATTTGGGGTGCAAAGAAATGCTGACAGTAAGTCATTGCCATTTACAGTCGTAAAGACTGATCCAATTAACCCCGCCCATGGGCACTTAACACATGCTTTCCTGAAATGCCACACTGCATGGTCCAGCTGCAGGTGCATATGGTTGCATTTCTCAAGTATGCACCCATAGAAAGCAGTGCACATTAGAGAGAGATAGCGCTGCCCGGTGGTGCCCCGAAAGCGAATGGCTGTGTATGTTTTGCTGGACATTCAAGATATAGCCCTATGATCACTACGTTTTTATGTCAATTTTTTTCACCGTCCCCTCCCCGAAATTCCCCAAGCAGAAGTAAATGCCGGGCACAGACCAGGTCCAAATGTAGCTGCCTGCCCCCATGCAAGATAGGCCCACAAGTCGGAGGTTTTTGTGAATGAAATAGCTTGGGGTGAAAGCCACAAGTCCCAAGTGTTTGAGATACAAAGTTCTGCAGTAGGTCCAGAGTATGGGACCACGGCAATATTGAGCTCGCGTGCAAAAATGCACCAATTTAATAGAATGCACCCATGTGTGCATGCATTCATATAGTACTTTAATGCACGCATGTCTGACATGACTGTGATACATGTACACCAGAATGCACACAACTAGGTCTGCTGTGCTTAAATCAATTCTATGGGCTGCAAGCTGGACCAAGAGAGGGCGCTATTTTCTTGCAAAGAAGGCTCCTTTGGTCGGAACTGAACTTAGCTGGTTCACGAATGACTAGGAAATGGTTGCACACGTCACGGTTGCATCGCTACCGACAAAATGAACACTCCCAACCAACACGGCTCTTTTCAACCGATTAGGGAGCACTTCTGCTCGAGGCGGATAGACCCCATATGAGCCGATTCACACAGTAGGCATTTTGAAATGTGAAGAGGGATGCCTCTGCACCAGGGATTTAGTTCTCAAGGAGAAGCTACCCCAGTGTACCAAACTCCCCTCCAAAAAAACCAGGAATAGAATTCACCCACAGTCTCATCACACCGAAGAAAAACTCATTTCCTCAAAACTAACCAAATGAGATATGAAACAAAACTTCTGATTTGTTCCCCTTTTCAATTTGTGTCCATTCAGGTAAATGGAATGAAGATAATGTGCTCAGGCAACGGATGAAGAAGCAATGGGATGCTATGATGCAGAGCAACAAGGAGTAGATGAAGTGAAAAGGATCAAGGCAAGGCAACTGCACCTTTTGTCCAAAATGTTGACCTATGATAACCTTATTCAAAAACTGACGCATTTCTTTACTGAATCCCCTAAAGACAGACTGTTGAGATACTCCTAAGCCTTACGGTAAGATGCTGCACTGTGATAGAACAGTTCAGTTACGACACGTTGTTCACAGCGGGTGAGAACTGTACAAACATATTGGACTGTTCCAGAACTTAAGTTTGCTCCAAGTTACAGCAACATTGCATTGAGTGTGGGGCATATACATGTAGATTTACAATGTAAAGCAAACAAAGTGAACAAAAATATAGAGTGGATTCCCAGTATAAAGAACAGTTGTAACAATACTTTTGGACAGAGTAAATTTTGCAAATCCCAACTTGTTGATTTCTTCTTTTGTTTCTTGTTCCCTTCCTCTTATAACAAAGTCCTGGTTATAGCGAAGTAATATGTCTGTCCCCTGCAATTTTGTTGCAACAAGAGATGACTGTACAAGACATACACACCATCACAGAACAGATGCAGTTGTTTGATTTCCAAGTCGTAGATGTATTTTCAATTCTACATGTATTGCATTCTAATGTATACACTGTACAATATTTCATTACATGGTGTAAATTCCATTATAATTATGCAATACCTGTACTTTGTATAAAAAGCAGTTGTTTTATTCCAACATTACACTATTTTTCTATGTACAAAATAAATGTTCAAATGTTTCCAACTACTGTGTACATAAAGATGTCTTTATTGTACAAGTGTTTCCATACTAAAAATTGCACATAAATGAATCTACTGTAAGGTGATTAAACACTACAGAGTTTGCATGCTATATTCAGCATCTAACAAATGAAAGTTTCCATCAACGGTGAAACATTTTTGAAAAAAATAGACTGCAGCTTCCCTAAAATTTTATAAATCTATTCCGCTAACCTAACAAAATCATCCCAACAATTCCCTGACAAGTGGTTCGTTGGTTATACAATAAAATTATACTGGATGAACAATCAATGAACATTTTCATAAAACTGAACATAAACGTTACACAATTATGCCTAAAAGTGGAAAAAGTTGACATAATCATAGACCCTGATTTTTATTGGGAAAAATTTAAACATGGTGTGGCTGTCAAGATTGTTTGTCAATGAGTCCTCACAGCATTGCTTTATACACAAAAGAATGACTAAAAAACATTTCAGTATAAATTACTTGGGTTGTGCCACAAGGTGTTTACAACTGAACCATAAGAAATTTGCATAGGAATCACTTTCAGGTTAGATAATTCAAATGTAAAGTTTTACTCCTCAGGAGAATATCGAAGTAGGTCACAATCCTCAATCTAACTCAGTCTTGATCTTGAAATGCTGAAAAAAACACACCTAAAGTAATTAATTTATTGCATTCCACACTCCCTGGTCACTACCAATGACCGCACTTGAAATACTCTTAAATCTTCCCACTCTACGGTTCTATCCTCAACTTCCAATGAAATAAATGAGTTAAAAGAATGTGTGACTTTAAACAAAATATATGCATGTTCAATGCATCTGTGACTGCCAACCATGAGTACCTGTATTCATGCATACATAATGACAGTTGTACAATGTGCCATAATGGATTCTGCCACCAAGATCATACTACACATGGGCCGTTTTCCAATACTCGACTTCGGCTCCATCTCAGGCTTCAACTGTTTTTTTACTAGCTGACTTTGAAGCTGTAAGTGCAGTAATCAGTCTAATAGTGCCACAGAACGTCAAACATGTCAAATAAGATGCGAGAGAGCCAACAATTACGGTAATCCAATGTAATTTAAACGCTTCAGGCCCACAATTGGGGATTGGTTTTGGGAACGAAGCCTGAGACGGAGGCGAAGTGGAGTATTGGAAAACAGCCACAACTCGAGGTTCATCAAAGCCTTTCGTATTGTGAGCTTAACAAACTACATGTACATGTAGTGTTTCTGATAGTGCAAGAGCACCTACTCAAGAAACCTGGGGGAATAAACATGTAATAGCTGAAGGGTGTACCAGAAATTTTGTGCGCATGTGTAAGTGGCAAAATTATTGTGGCCAGAAATAATATTGAAAACGAATTAGTTTGACTACTGTGGATGGCTGAGGTCGTAGAGTTTCTGTGCCAGCTCTTCCAATCTAGATCGGTACTCCAAATCCTGAAATGGAAACGGAATGAGAATTCTGACAAAATGAACTGGTGAATCGGCACAGAACTTTATGGAATAACGATACGTTTTTTCAAATCTTAGCTTCGACTTCATCTACAACTGCATCATGAGCTCCACAGCTGGTTTAAATCATTGCCGTTGGACACTATCAATTGTTTGATGTTTCTGAGCCGTACAGTAACAAAGGTGAGATTTGTGGGGGGGGGGGCACTGGGGGGTGTAAACCTTGTCAAGGAGGTGCTGAAAGCAAATGAACTGCAGCTTCTACAGAGGCTGTCTGCATTTTGAAAATTGCGCCACCGTTTCTGTGATATGAGAAATGATGGTGCACTCGGGCTTCAATGTTCAAATTCGGGATATTCAATTCATAAAATTGCAGCCTGAAGAGAGACTATGACAAAGACTTAAAGACCTTTAATGCTGCAGCTTGGCTCACCTTATAGCAGTTTGGGTAACCTATTCTTACCTAATTCTGGTTTACGGTTACCCCTCCAGACCGTAGGGATCCCCACCACCACCACCACCAAA